CATAGCCTTCAATTCGACATTTAAGAAATACATATATCGGGATATGAATATGGGTTGGTAGCGTGATCAAATTCCATAAAGCCCGAATAAAAATATGTTAACTTGATAACAACCAACTTATCGAAATTATATTATAACGTTATGAAGGGGGAATACCATACTGGTTGTAAATACAGGGGGGTTAACTCTAGAGTAGGATTCCCTTCCCCTCTGGTTAAAATCCTACTCTATAGTAGAATTTGGGGGTGGAGGAATCCTACTTTGGGGGAAAACCTGAAAACACGGAACGTTTTATCTTCATGCATATGTTAATTCGATATATCCTAGTGAATTCGAAATAAAAGACACCGCAGAGTCTGACATATCTGTTTTCATGTTTGATTTTTTCAAAAGAAAAACATTGATGGAAAACTAAAAACTAAACATGATAAATGAGATGACTTCAACTTTTCTATCGTCAACTCCACCTCTGTATGGAGCAATATACCATTATCATCTGTGTATTGTGTTTATTTCCTCAGCTGATTCGATATGCAAGAACAACGTTAACTTATATATACGAACTATTTCTAACCCGAGGCAGACTACTGACAAATAAGTTGATAATATAAAGTATCGACAATCTCGTTTAAAGTCTAAATTTTATGGTCGTTTCAGTGACCTTGTTTGCAAAAACATTCTGCCGTTTGGTAGAATGTCGACTGACGTTATTGTGTATAGATTACTATTTTTACCCGATCAAAACAAAGGGCTCGCAGAGAGTGTGGCAGGTCGACAGGGGATGCTTACTCCTCCATGGCACCTGATCCCACCTCTGATGTTTTCAGGATTCGTGTCTGCTCTGCTGTCAATTTGCATTGTTTAATTTGACTTTTGAGCATGATTACTGATCGTTATCTTCCCATTTCATGTTTCCAACTTTAAAGTTGGTAACTCCAATTTGAGCTTTTCTAGCCCTTTTCCTTAGCTTTTTTCCTTTATCCAACTTTAAAGTTGGTAACTCCAATTTGAGCTTTTCTAGCCCTTTTCCTTAATTAGCTTTTTTCCTTTATCCAACTTTAAAGTTGGTAACTCCAATTTGAGCTTTTCTAGCCCTTTTCCTTAGCTTTTTTCCTTTATCCAACTTTAAAGTTGGTAACTCCAATATGAGCTTTTCTAGCCCTTTTCCTTAGCTTTTTTCCTTTATCCAACTTTAAAGTTGGTAACTCCAATTTGAGCTTTTCTAGCCCTTTTCCTTAGCTTTTTTCCTTTATCCAACTTTAAAGTTGGTAACTCCAATTTGAGCTTTTCTAGCCCTTTTCCTTAGCTTTTTTCCTTTATCCAACTTTAAAGTTGGTAACTTCAATATGAGCTTTTCTAGCCCTTTTCCCTAGCTTTTTTCCTTTATCCAACTTTAAAGTTGGTAACTCCAATTTGAGCTTTTCTAGCCCTTTTCCTTAACTTTTTTCCTTTATCCAACTTTAAAGTTGGTAACTCCAATTTGAGCTTTTCTAGCCCTTTTCCTTAGCTTTTTTCCTTTATTTTAAATTATTACCAACTTTATTAATGCAAAATTAATACACTGAAATAGACTGGTAAGCAATTAATCTGTCAATTATTTTTTACCTTGACCTTCCCCTATGACCTAACATATAACTTCCAACTTTATAAATCCTTATCCCTATCAAAAATTTACTTTCGTTAACTTTAGTAAAAACTTTAATACTTTGATTAACTTTGATGAAACTTTACTCTGGAACTTCTTTTGAGATTTCAAAGCTTAAAATCTCTTAAATTCGATAACAGTTATGTAAAATTTGGAAATATGTGATTGATTGATTGATTGATTGTGTGTTGTTTTACGTCCCGTTTGAGAATTTTTCAATCATTTAGAGAAGAGACGATATACCGGTGATGGGCTTCAAATTTATACCTTTACTCGGCACGCATGACAATTGAGCAGTGAGGGTTCTTTATCGTGCCAACGCCTACCGTGACACGGGGCCTTGGTTTTTAAGGTCCCATCCGAAAGACCCGCAACTTTCACCCCAAAGTGCCGAGCGCTTGGCGAAGGTTGCTACCTATTTTATATCGACTACAAATTTGTATGGTATGTCAAGGATTTTTTGAAAAGTATATTTTAGATATGTACATGTACTCCTATAGCATGAATCAAAATCGCAAAGAAAATTGGGGGTCAGTGTGCATCTTACTGAGCAACGGTACAATTAATTTGACATTTTTGCATTTGAATTATATCTCTTATGTTAATCACTTTAATCTTTATCATATTTTATCAGATGTTATTATGGCAATAAATATAATCCTGTGTTAGGATGCTACAAATACAACTGAACTAAAAGTATCAATTCTGTAAATGAAATTATAAAATTCCTTCTTTCATCATGATTTCATAATTAAATACACTGTAGTTTCTTTCCATATTTCATATGAATATTTTTTTTTTAAAAATATATTCATATTTCATTTGCAGAAATTTCTGTAAAAATATTGCACGTATCTATTTCATAGAAAGATTTTTTTGTAAAAATATTGCACGTATCTTTTTCATATGAAGAATTTTCTAACCCGAACTCTTGATTATGGAAAAATAATAACATTTTCAGAAAATTTTGATAAGTTTCAGAATATTTTTTTCTTCACTGGGTTTGGGGGGGGGGGGGGGGTGTTGTAGAATGAAAATGAAAGTCATGTTTATTAACGCGATGAGACAGTTTTGAGAAATAACTTTTTGTAATTCCATCCCTCCATTTTTTCTCTTTGCAGAAACAGAGGACAAACAGAAGCATTTTATTTTTCTAGGCGATGAACGCGTGATATTTCTCTATTCTTATATATAAATAGATTTTGAATAGATACAGTGGATCACGGATTTAATCTTTTTTAACATTTGTGAGAGAAGAGAGATAACCTCATATATGGTTGTACATTTTTGTAATTTTCATTGTTCGATTACTGAGGACCATCTATAAACATTAACATAGGGAAAATTATACTGCATAAAAGTGTAAATATTGAGCTTTATATCTATTTCACTTTCAATATAGGGTGCCTGGCATTTATCCCAGGTAACAAATGTTCGAATACTACGAAGTATTGATGAACAGACTGTTATTTACTTAAGTGGAAAAAACACATCCAAACAAAGTGTTCAGTCAATTTTATCTTAGCCTATTTAACTTGGACTATACTTGAATTGATTACATACTGAGTAATACATTGTAAATTTTATTTTATTTGATAGTAGATCTAAGGGCAGATTACTCTATAAATGCATAAAAATACCACAAAATCAGAACTCTTTAGTGAACAGTACTTTGAGTTGTTATTTGCATAATCCGTTACATTGATTTCTAAATATAAGACTTATTACGCTATAACAATAAAATATCCCATAATACCTACATGAAAAAAATAACTCCATACTCGTTATTCTAACGAGAGAGAGAGAGAGAGAGAGTCAATGACCATTAATTAATACAGAAAAGACATTCACATTTCATTCATATAAAATTCTTGTAATTAGTTTTTACAAAAATAAATGACATGTATATGTTGATCTTTTAACCCTACATGAACAAGACAACACGTGTACTATTCAAGGGTCTCTTTATCAGGAAAGAAAATTTCAGCTCTTCTATACATATGCAGATGACCTTGCTTTCAAATCTGACAACCAAATAGTAAGCTAAAGAACTATTATTCAAAAAAAGCATTGAAAGCCTCCTTCAAACTCCACAAAGTTATGAAATCATCATATTAGATTATCCATCTAATAAAGCTCAGCTACACCTATTTTGACCACTTAATCAAACCAATACATGTATCACTATACAGTTGGGAAGTTTTGGGCATGCTATCTAAATGCAACCTTGGAAAAAAAGAAAGACATATATGATATACATAAAGACTGGGATGTAGAGAAATTGAATAGCAAATAAATATTGGTTTGATTAAGTGATCGAATAACTAGGTGTCGGTAAAAGGAGTAGGTATGCATCTTTTGTAATTTAAATTAAACTGAGGATGAAAATGATTTCCTCACAATTTTTAATTACAAGATAGGGAAACTTTCTGCCAATTCCTAAGCGATACTAATAAAAATTTCACCACATTATCCAATGATAAAATTTTTTTTATGGATTATGACAAATGAAGATCCAAATCCTTCATTAAGAGAAAAAAAAGGAAAAATGTTAGAAAAATACATCCTCTTTTGATTCATGTCTCTACTACAATGTACATAAGTTTAAGAATTATTTATATCTATACTAAATAAGAAGCATTTAAAAGTTTTCAAGATGTACGCATTGTCATTGTGGTAATACCCCTTCCCACAATATATACAAGTGTCATATGTTTACATGTACATGTTTTATAGATATGTACATGTACGTAAATGCCTCTTTTCACCTATATTTTACTTTTAAATAGCCCTTTTCTTTCTTATGTTTGTTCTCTTTATGTCCTGAATCATTCGCGGATCTAGAGAGAGAGAGGGGGGGGGGTCCGAGTTATCTAAAGTATATACTGAAGCAAATGAAAAATGACTTTGGATCCCACCCCTTGAAAATGTGGACCCCACCATCACCACCACGAAAGAAGTGGGTTTTTTTTTTCACTTTTAGGAAATTGGTTTTAGATTTATTTTTTTTTCATTTTTCTTGTCAAAAAAAATTTTGAGTTGGAAATTTTTTTGACTAAGGTGCCCCCTCCCCTGGAAAAATTGATTTTTTGACTGGAGTCAGTGGAGTGGACCCCTCCCCCCCCCCCCCAGAAAAAAACCTGGATCCGCACCTATGAATCAGTATCTAAACTTATTTGTATTATCTTATCTATATCCGTACGAAAATCAAGTAAAATATTTCGTTAATGATAATCTAGAATTCTTAATTCAAACAGGTAGGTTTATCTTTTTGTAATTTCTTTCGAAACATAATATTGTTGTAAACTGGAATCCGGAAAATTATTTTCTTTCGCGCATTTTCTATATTCTAGTTTAAAGATGGCTGCACTTTCAGGATTTCTTCTGTTCGCTACATTTAGTTTTGCGTTTTCTGTTCCAGTGGACACTAAGCTGCAGGCTTTGACAGATACATTGTCAGCGATAGAACGCCTTGTTCGGTACTACAAGTCAACTTATCGTGAGCTCAACATTGATGGCCTCTATGGTCTCCGAGTTTTGGAAGGTAAGTGAAGCGATTGGTATTGGTACCACCTCAGCATGCAGTCTGCTCTCTGTAGAGTTAGGGCTTTGGGGAATCCGAGAAGTAAATATCAGGGTTCTCTGAATCTGTATTTCTTTTCGGGAAGCGGAATATTATTTCTGTGATGGAGACATATGTTTCTCTGCATTTTTCTTTTTTTTTTTTTTTTGGGGGGGGGGGGGTTATATATGTCTCCTGTTAAAATTATAATCTCAACATAGATCTGCAGCTAATCTTGGTAATAATTAGATAAATAAATATTATCATTATCATAATTATTATAAGATTCATGTTCCTATGGTTTGAATCACTAGAATTAAAATCAAATATACAGCTGTGCATGCATAAATCAGCAGTATGTACATAAACTGAAATATGAAAATGACCCACCTCAGGCCACCTGTTATAGTAAATGATATTGGAGATCAATAGTTTTCTGTATTTAAATGTATTTGTGATGAATGAATATGTACATGTCAACATGTTGCTTGTCATTATTATAAATCTTTGCAGGATTGAATTTTAATATTTTACAGTGATTCATTTTGAAAATGGTTATCATGGGTCCAAAGGACCCCTCTTAATGACAACAATGAGTCCCATGCCAAAACCAATGCGTCCAAATCCAAGGGTATTCATGGTACCATATATTAGATATTACAGAGGAAATTCTGGTGAAATAGAAAAGGGTTTTGTCCGAAAGTGCAATTGTTTTATTGAAGCTGTGAGTGGTTTATACTATAATTACTATCAATTGGAAGTAAGAATAAATAATTTTGTGGCATGTAAATAATATATTGTCAACTGTGCACCTTGGTTCTATTTTTAGATCGTACATACGATTTCACACATAATTTGTATCTGTCATAAAATGCACAGAAGCAGACCAGTTGTTCTACTGAATGAAGTAAATAAAGTTTTCTTAAAAAAAAAATATCCAGAAAGAAGAATGATCAAATACTTATTAGCTTTAAGGAAAAAATTAAAATGATTCAGGTTACAGCTCAAATACAAATGTATACGCTACAGAAATGTTCCCCAGCAGGCAAAATTGAACTTTCTTTTTCTGATAATTGTTTCATTGTTAACTGCAATGTAACAGTGAAGTGTGAAATCTGACCTGTTGTTGGCAACCTTGTGTTAAAATCGCTCATGCATATCGCTAAACACGTGGATATGATGCAATCAGCTAAGTTTTGAAGCATACTATACCGAAATAATTTAAAATGATAACTTTCACTTTATAAATTTAATGCGTCCATTGGGATGCACATTTATTGAAATAATGCGTCCTGAGCAAAATTCATGCGTAATTTACGCAGGACGCACACCAAAATGAATCACTGATTTTATAAATCAATATTACAGTTATAAAATTTTGAATAATTTTCTCATATTAGATCAAATCAATTAAAATTTTTTAAGGTCTTCCAATTTCCCTCATAAGACCTTGTTCATGTTTGGTTTCCTATTATTATTCCCACTTCATGCTACACCATACCTGTCAACATGGCCAAAACTTTTTGGGGGAGAAAACGCGTGACGACCTTTTGCAAATACAAAAAGTCACGCATTTCACTGTATTATAAAACAAAAATAAACAACTTACAAGATAAAACTTTTTTATTAATATTATTATTATCATTTATTCATAAAATTTACTTTTATTCATACATTGTTTAGAAACTTGTACAATGTGATTTTTGAAATTATTAAAATACATTTTCTTCAATGTATATTCTGCCTGTCCATAAGAGTGTCTTTTGAATAATATTCATGGCAAATGTCAAAGTTTAACTTGGCAATTAGAAAAATTAATAAGGTTCTGCAGACAGCCTGAGTTTCCAGCTTTTAATAGATGGATGAATGGATTTTTCTCACTAAGTCTTTATGTGATGCATCATTTTGATCATCTCTGAAAAAAAATATTGACATTAGTCCACGCATCCTTGAGAAATTTTTTTTACCATGACCTTTAATTTAACCTTGACCTCACTTTAAAAAAAAAATATGTATAGCTCAGTTTCAAATAAACTAATCAAGATATTTTATTAAACCTTTTATGCTGATAAATATTGGTGAGAGCAATTCAACTGCATCAACATTTTTTGACATTTTGAGAAAACATGTTTTCCATGTTTTCTCAAAAAGGACTCAAGATATAATCATTATAATAAATTATATTTTTAGAGATGATAGAATGTCTCATTGGGTTTTGTATTATGCCTTTTGTTTTTACGTCTGACACTTCAGGTTAGTTACCCAAAATTTTACTGAAATTTGTTTAAAAAAAATTTAAATGAATAACCACAGAACTGTTAAACAAGAACTTACTAACAAAAAAGAAGTAACAAATAAACATGACTTGAACAGTGAGGGGACATTAAACTGAGCATGGTGGGTAGATTGGTTATTTGAATTCTGATCATATTTTTGTCCACTTTATTTATGTATGATTTGAATTGTTGTAAAGCTGTATGCAATATTATTCCAGAAAGGTACTGTTTTGACTAATAACAAAAGTATCACAATATTGTACAGATGATACATTATATGTATCACTGGGACTCATGATCAGTCAATATGTCACTGTATCATAATAACATTACATCTATACCTCTATCACTTCTGGTTGAAGTTCCTGCATAGATGGGAAATATTTCCAGTTTGAACTAGAAGTTGTTGAAAATGAATCTATTAAGTTTTTTCTATGTACTTGTAGGTTTTAAGAATGACATTTGATTTTTTGAACATGAGAATGACATCTCTTAAAACATTATTTTCAGTGGCCCTCATCTAAGACCTATAATACTTGTTATTTTGCAATGAGCTTTGCTCTACCTTTTCAACTTATTGTTTTGATTTTAGCTTAAATGGTTTGATGAAATGAAGATTGCAGATATTTTTCAAAATTCTAGTTTAATTGGCAAATCTTTTGTATGAAATTTATAAAAAATGTTGCTTTGAAAAATCAAAGAATAAAAATTTACATGTAACTCTCACTCTAGGAGTCTATTTTTTATCAAGAAAGGGTAAAAGTAATAAACATACAAGTAGTAATAAAATTTGTAAATTATTATTATTAATAATTAATATAATAATATTAATATATTAATATAATTATTAATAATAATGTAATAAACATACAAGTATAGTCATAAAATTTGTAAATTATTAATTAATATAATAATATTAATATAATTGTAAAATTTGTCAATTAATATTATATGAAATTTGATTACAAAGAATAACTGATCTCCAAAAAAAAAAAAAAATAAAATAAATAAATAGAATAAAATAAAAATTGGGGCTATGGTGGGAGTCCATAAATTTATATAGAAACAGTAAAAAAATGAAACCATTGTAAAACTCTCAATAAAAACTGCATGTCTGAATAATACTTCTTTAAAACACTCATGCAGTATAGGTTCTTTTTCTAAATGGCCGATGATGGCTCACAGACAAGTATTGGGACCTTTGATATAAATTCCACACAAAAAGGGGATCCAAAGGTTTGTGTAAAATATGTTTGGAAAAATCTTTAAAAATCATCTTCAGAATTACAAGGGTACAGGCTATTCTTATGTGGTGAAGATTCAGGTTTTGTTATTTTTAGCAACATGATATCTGACGAACCTGTGAAATAAACAGAAACACTGAACAACCTTATTTTCAAAATTTTACTTGCTAGAGATACTGGATTTTGAGGGATCTTGTTTAAATAAAAATTGTTATGTATTAATTCCAGGTCAGTTGGGTGTTTTGCTGGAGGAGTTTAATAAAGCTGGAACTGACGGCCTTCCAAATGACATCACTGCGAGAATACGACACCTTCAGGTGGAAGCCACCAACATAAGCGAGGAGGCAGTGAGCTTTGTTAGGAAAGGAGATGAAGAATACTACAAGGCACTCCACTTTGTTGTTGGTCGACCTTGGAAACTTTGGAAAAATCAGAGGTCACTTAACTTCAGCAGTCAATGGAACCGTGGTGTTTATCTGAAAAATAAAGGTACCGTCAACTTGGGTATCACCAAGCAAATGTTCAGCTCCTTTACTTTAACAGACATAATATAGTGAGTAGCAAAGTTATTGAAATATGTATTATGCCAAAAGGCTATTTCATTTATCTTTCTATTTACGTCACCTGAGCCACTCAGATGAGCTATTGCTCTCTGTTTTGGCCGTCATTTGTCATCCATTGGTCGTAAACTTTTGAACATTTTCAGCTTCTTCTCATAACCCGCTGAACTAATTTCAATTAATATTAGTATAGAGCATCTTGGGGCAAAGGAGGGAAAAAAAATTCAAATTTCAGAGTCCCTGCCCTCTGGGACCTGAGGGAGGGGCAAAAACCATCAAAATTAATGCATTTTTCAAAAATCTTTTTTTAACTCCTGGACATCAAGCAGTTACACTGTTGGTGTGATAACAGCAAACAAAGAGTCCTTAACCAAAATTATGAAGTTCATGTCCATAGGGTCTGTTAGGAGTTAGGATGGGCTCTATTGATCATATAGTGAAAATGCACTGATTCTTTGAAAATCATCTTCTCTCACTGTGTATACATGTATTTAGGAGACAAACTACATGTAAGTGCATGGTTATGATGATTCCAAAATTGTGAATTTCATGGCCCATGGGTCAGGAGCTCTGATGGCTCTATTGATTATATAGTGAAAAAACATTAATTCTTTGAATATCTTCTTCTCTGATCCTGGGTATTAAGCAAACAAAGTTAGTGCATAGCTATGATGAACAAGGGTTCCTCTTCCCAAATTGTGAAATTCATGGCACAAGCATCGGGGTTTCTGTAGTTTGTGTTGGGCTCTATTTATTATACAGTAAAAATGCATTACTGCTTTGTAATTCTTCTCTGCTCTTGGGTATTTAGCAGATAAACTAAGTGTATAGCCATAATGAGCAAGGGTGCCTCTAAAATTGTGAAATTCATGACCCTTTCGTATCGGGTTCTGGTGTTTTGGTGGGACTTTATTGATTTTACAGTGAAAATGCATTATTTCTTTGAAAGTCTTCTTCTCTGCCCTTGGGTATTAATCATAAATAAAAATGCATCATTATGCTGAGCAAGAGTGCTTATTCTAAGATTGTGAATTTCATGGCTCCTGGATCATGGGCTCCTGTGTTAGAGCAGGACTCTGTTTATTTAGTGAAAATGCATTAATTCTTTGAAAATTTTCTCTGCTTCTAGGCATTTAGCAGAAAAACTAAGTGCATAGTTTTGATGAGCAAGGGTGTCTCTTCTAAATTGTGAATTATTTTCCAGATTTGTGAAATTCTGGGCCACTGAATCAAGTGTTCTGGTGCTGGGCAGGGCTCTATTGATCCTATAATTAAATTTGTACCCAAGTGATAGAAGTTACTCCCCTTTGCTATTTACTTATGAAAATTAATTGCTGTAATTAATGTATCTGATGGGTCAATTGAATAAAAGAATTATACAAGAATTTTTAATGTATAATACATTATGTACTTTTAGTTTTTAATGGTAAGACAGACTTGTTAATAATAGATTAATAACAAAAACACCTTTATCTTTATATTAAATATTCTTCAAAGATCTAGAGAGGCCAAGGTGAGAGGGATTGAGTTTAGTACAAGTGCTTAAGTACTTTAATTTTGTTTAGTCTTTATGATGATAGTGACAATTGGGAGTGTATTAGCACTGGTAAGTACAGGCAAGTAGATCTACTTTATGATTTGTTACTGAGTACTAGACTAATTATTTATTTTGTTGATCATCATATTTCTCTTGCTAATGGGTAACATATCTTCATCTTTCAGTTTTGTTTTATTTTTTTCTTCTATGGATCCTTTACAGTGTTGTATTTATACTCAGATGACCATTAAGGCCCTTGGGCCTCTTGTGGTATGTTGAAGGGGAATGAGGGATCCGGGTCATTCTATACTCTAAATTATCAGAACTTGATGTATCACATTATCACCAAAATCATCAATCTTGATGGAATTCAAAGCATTCATATATGTCATGACAATACTTTTTTTTTAAAAATGTACTCTGTGTACTCGCACAATGACTCAACCAGATACAGTTAAACTTTGGTATCTCAAACACTGACATCTCGAGTACCATAGATATGTCGTGTGTAAGTGATTTGGAAGTCCCAAGCACTTATTCTTTAACTATTTTACCCCTGATATATGGAATACTCGGATATCTCAGAAGTTTTTTCTCGGTCCTATTGAATTTGAGATAACAAGGTTTGAATGTATTTATAATTCATAACAAGCATGAACACCACAATTAAAGCCAATTTTTTTTTTTATAGTTTCTCTTATCATTATTTACATGTTGATGTCTTTTACAGAGAGATTAACAGAGAGCCGGTCTGATCGATGTATGACCCAGTTAACAGGGAGTTTGGGGAACAGATCAACATCATGTCAGGTTACTCAGGACTGTGTCCAACTCATGACAAGTCGGGGATTAACGGGGTACGGAATCACCCACCAGATTCTGTGGACAATGTTAGCTGAACAGGTAAGTGAAAATCTGTCTGATTAGGATTGCTATCTGAGCTGATGTCATACTTTTCTACATCAATTCTTTTGTACCATACAAATAGAGAATAATACATACCCTTTTCCAAATCACACCAAGTATCAGCCCGACACTAATAATTTAAACACTCTTGTTTAAAGGTTTAATCTACAAGGGCTGTAATATACATCCGTATCAGCCCTGGCTGTAATATACATCCGTATCAGCCCTGGAAGCTAGTATGACTATTGTGACATCAGGCATATTGCATACACAGAAAACCTGTATTCATTACAAAATATGTAATTAATCAGCATATAGAAGTAGAAATTAATTTAAACAGATGTCATTTCAAAGGATTACCAATATTTTGTCTGCAGGGAAAATTAAAACAACAAAAGTTTTCATGCATTGGTTGTTTGATACATGTAGCAGTTTTCTGAGAGAATCAAACAGTGTTTATATTATTCATATGGTCAGTGTAAGTGAGTAAAACCATTCTCTACACCTAACTATTTTGTAAAAAAAATGTACCATTACAATATATATTCAGGCTTACATTTGTAAATTCTGCAAGTACAGTGCTACCTCGGTATATTACCCTCCGTTATATTGCCACCCTTGCTTATTGCCAGGAATTCTCGAAGAACGGATTTCCCCCTGTGTTAATACACCCGTTATATTGCCACCCCCGCTTATTGCCATCCGCCACTGCTTTTGTGAAACAAAAGCTCAAATTAAATAAGGAAAACCCATGGTAACAATGCCAATTATCTAGCAGGTGTTGATAATTTGGACACCACACCCGTGCTTTGACAGTGGTTGTGGTGAAGTGTGACTGGCTGGACAAGGAATTCAACTAAATAAAAGATAATTGTTGTATAAAACTCAAAATTAGCAATGTCTTTGGTGTGTGTTTATAAGATAGAAGAATAATTTCGTCACAATAATGGAAACGTCAGACGAGAGAAACCGTACAAATTTAGATTATGAAAAAAAAAAGATCAACATTCGATCTATTTGATTGTAAATAGCCAATTATTGCTTATCATGGATATTGGCATAAAACCATAATAAATGCAAAAATTCATTTGTGTCCCCTTAGATTAAGAAGCCATTCTATCGATCAAAAAGGAAACCCCATATCTATTATTAGACTACTATAATTCTGCTGGTGAAAATATCAGGGATTCCGTTAGCCCTGAAATTTTCTTTAATTGTCGGGCATATATTGGTTTGATTGATAAATATCAAAACAGAATCGGAAGAGAAGTACACAGGTACTAGCAAACATAAGAAATATAACGGCCACTGACATCTTTGTCATCGGGTTATTAAATTCTTAGAGCATGACGAAAGGAAATTGGTGTGTTCAATATTCTGATATTTTATTTCTTTTCAGTCAAAATATTGTAAAACAAATATAAATAAAAAATATTATTATATAGTCTATTTATAGTCTCTATATAATCTATACAAACGCAAACAGTTCATAACAGTACATATTCACTGGTTTGAAACCGTATTCACCGGAGGGTCGGTGCGCATGCAGCGGCATTGTGACATCACAATCAACACCTCAAACAACGTTGTAAACAGTGGTTGCAACAGCCAGAGCCAGCTGTGTTTCTGAGCAGGAAAAACATTAGCCAAGCCTATCGCAGGGTTATCTTCTAAACATTACGATGTCTTACAAACAGCAAAAGGAAAATACAGAAGTTATAATTTGTAATCTGGAAATTGTTTTTTTTAATTTTTTCTACAACAGAAGTTTGTAAATGGAAGTGGTATCATCATGCAGCCTTCAATGTCTTATTTATTCAAATCTAGACTGTATAATAAAACAATTATGGACTCTTTCGGTGGTGAATATGGTTTGCTATTCACCAGAAAAATATCAATATTGACCTCGGCTTCGCCTCGGTCAATATTGATATTTTTCTGGTGAATAACAAACCATAATTCACCACCGAAAGAGTCCATAATTGTATAATAATGACTTTTTTTTTTCAAAAAGAAATGAGAGCTGTCCTTGTACACATGTGACATAAATAGATTGTAACTGAAATAAATAACGTATAATCTATTTATTTTGTTTTGATTACCCACTGAATTGTAATTTATGGCAGAATTCATAATAATTCAATTCACTTTATTGACAATTACCATGTCGGCATACAGTCATGACATAAAACGAATTAACAAGAATAATACATACATATACAAAATGACAAATGTGAGTTGAACAAAATAATGTAGAGTATATTCACATATTTCTAAGTATTCATTGCTGACTTTCTTTTCTGGTGTCAAAGCACTTTTTCAAAAAACAACATATCCTTCTAGCAGTTGTAATATTTGTAGGATTGACAATTTTTCTAATGGGATTATCACTAGTATATGTGTTTACATTAAATATATCAGTATAATTGCATCTAAATTGGTCATACTTTGAACAGTATAGAACAAAATGTTTTTCATCTTCAATAAATAATTTACATGAATAGCATAAACGTTTTTCTCTAGGAATAGGGGGTTTACAGTATCTGCCCGTTTCAATATACAATGGATGGGCACTGATCCTTAATTTTGTTAATACAGATCTAAAACTTTTCTTTAAAGGCAGCTTTAAATAACTTTGCAATTTGTATTCATTTTGAATTACAATTTTACTATAAAAAGCTAACTTTCCAGAGTTTGATTTGCTTATATTTTTCAGTTGTTCATGTATCTTGTTTTGGTAATGCTCTTGTAATTTGTTTTTCAAGGTTGTGTGAGAAATATCCAAAGAAGTGATATTTAATTTTTGTAGTAATGAAGACAGTTTTCTTTGCCAAGATATTCTAGATACAAGTTTTTTGTCTTCTTTAAATGCAGAAATCACTAAATAATTATTATAATCATGTTTGTTTTCCATTTCCTTAAGTCTCTTAAAATATTTAAACATATATTCATAACATAAATAGTACAAAGGAAAACGACCCAATTCACATAAAACAGCAATATTTGATGCCTTTCTATGTACCCCTAGTATGTCTTTAAATATTAAGTGTTGTGTTTTTTCAAAAGGAAATTGGTCTGAAGACATTAAATCACATTTGAAGTCAGTTATCCATACTTCAGATCCATATGTAATAATTGGTATTATCATTGACTGGTATAATTTTAACATAATTTCAGCTGAAAAATTAATATTTGCAGGAAAATTTGATTTAATAGCATAATATGCTTTCCTAGCACGTTCTGATAGTTGTTCAGCTGCAAATTTCATTTTTCCATCAGATCTGAACACAACACCCAAATATTTATATTCATTCGTTATGTTAATCATTTGGTGATTGTAATAAAATCTAAATGATGTTTCATCATCTGTTTTTCTTGAAAAAATCATAACATCTGTTTTATCCATATTAACACACAATTTCCAGTCTGAACAATATTTTCCTAAAACATCTATACAGTTTTGTAGACCAACTTCTGATTCTGATACAAGGACCAGATCATCAGCAAAAAACATATGATTTATTGGCATAGTATCTAGATATGCAGGATTTGTGCTTACATTTTTAAGATAATTCACAAAATCATCAACAAAGATATTGAAAAGTGTTGGACTTAAATTATCACTTTGTTTGACTCCTCTATTAGCTTTAAATTTTTCACTCATTTGATTGTCCTTTTTACAAGAATAGTATGTATTTGTATACATGTCTGTCAAAAGTTTGAGAAAGTTACCACCAATACCCTTTTTATTCAATTTGTATAAAAGTGCAGATCTCCACACAGTATCAAATGCTTTTGAAAAATCTACAAAGCACACATATAAATTCTGTTTCTTTGTATAAAGATATTTGTTTACAAGTGTTTTTAGTACAAATATATTGTCAGTGGTCCTATGACCTTTTCTAAATCCAGATTGATATTGACTTAGTAGGTTATTTGACTCAAGATAATTATCTAAGCGTTTCTGTAGAAGGCCTGTAAAAAGTTTTCCTAAACAACTTGTAACACTGAGACCCCTATAATTGTTTGTATTATTAGGATCACCATTTTTGTATAATGATGTTCCATTCTTTGGGCATTTTTCCATTTTTAAGTAGAATATTAAACAGTTTTGTAAGGACAGGTAAAAGGGTAGTATTGTTTGTTTTAATAAACTCATTTAAAATTAAGTCAGGCCCAGCACTTTTACCATTTTTCAGCTTTAAAATGCTTTGTTCTATTTCATCTTGAGTAAACAAAAAGTCTAATGGATTTGGTTCAGTATTTAGTTCAGTGTACTTGTATTTCAAGCTCTCTTCATCAGTATATTGAATGTTCAGTAAGGATTTGTAGTGGTCAACGAATTCTGAAATTCCAATTGTTTCTGCATTAGTTTTCTTTGATTTATTTTCTTTTATCTTATTCCAAAATTTACTGGAGTTTTGTGGCGAAAGTGTGTTAATTTGTTCTGCAATACTATTGTAAAAATTAGATTTAAGACTTTTTCGTAGTTTATTATAATCTTTTCTACATTTTGCAAAGGCATGTTTTAGTTCACAGTTGTTTGGATATTTGTGTACTTTCTTCCCTAAATTTCTAACTTCTTTTCGTAGGAGTAAGCAATCTGTAGTCATCCATTTTGGTCTTTGTTTATTTTTTCGTTGTGATTTTGTAAATTTTGCAGGTTTAAATGGAACACTTTTATAATATTGCCACTCTCGCTTTAATGCCAAAATGTGTCTTGGACAAAAGTTGGCAATATACCGAAGTAGCACTGTATAGTAGAAATAAAACACATGGCAAATATACTGTGTCTTTTTAATAAGAAAGAACTAGGTTCACTTTATCCATAAAATGGCCCTGTCCATATACCAATTACTACAGTAAAACTCAGTTATAACAAAGTTCTGGGGACCTGGTAATATACTTCGCTATATCCATAATTTGTTATTTCTGTATAACAAAATTCCTTCAAGTATATATAGCAAATTTTCAAGAAAGATTTTTTCATTCAAGTATGTCTATAAAGTATATTTAGGGAAGTTTAAGGTACAGAGTTTACCTTGGAGCTAGAGATGGGAAATTTGGAATTTTTCATATTAATGGATTATCGAATATAATCGAAAGTATATAATCGATTAAATAATCCAAAAGATTGAAAACTTCTTCATAATATAAATCATCTTTTTCTAAACAAAATCTGAGGTTGTTTAAAAAAAACTATTAATATTTTTTCAAACACAACTTGAAAACTGCGTAAGATATGTCTACATTTTCCTTTATTGCTTGGCCCTCCTTTTTTCTTAACAAACCCAAAATATTTCCTAATGTCAGTTCAATATTTTAAAAATTTTGATCTTTGAAAATTTGCTATAAAAGATGTATTTTTTAACTTTTAGGAACATAATATCAGTTCGCTATAACTGTAAATTCGCTATATCTGAGTTCGTTATTTCCATAAGTTTTTTCAAGGAATTGTTAAGCATTTAGTCAAGGATGGGGAAAAACTTTGCCATATCCGTAAATTCGCTATATCTGTCTGTACTAAACAAGTTTTACTGTAGTAACTTATCAAGTTCCAATGTCCCATTTCTGAATCAAATATCTATAAAAAGTAGTCTAGAGACTTGGTGCTTTTATTTCCTACAAAAAAGTTTCTTCCTGAGCATCCAGGTATTACAAAATGTGAAATTGCTTTGCGAAATTGCAGTGATCTTCAGTTTTTCAGAAAATGGGGTGTATTTGAGTACTTTTAACAAACAAATAAAATATGAGCCCACCCGTTGATCCAAAAAATAAATAATGCTTTATATCCTTCATTCATTACATAATTGCAGCTTTTTGGATCAGAGGTTGGGTTCCATGCAAAAAATTGAAAAACACCATAAACTTTTTGCCATTTTTGAAGAAATTTTCAGGACTTCAGGATTCATGACATCATAATAAATGAACCAGCAAGAAAATTACATCATTTTTAATAGATATTCAGCCACTAAGGGTTGAAGTGAAATTTAATGTCTTGTCAACTTAAACTAAGCAGTTTTGATTTTTCAGAAATTCACAGGGCCACAAAAGGCCCTGAGTAAACCTTGATCTTTTCAATGGGTTCCAAGTAGAGGAAATTAGTTACCCATATCGATTCACAGTATTTTTTATACTGTGCACCTTCAAGATACATTGATATACATGTACTCTAACTTGTAGCTTAGTTTCCTTTTGTTTTATAGGCAGGATGTACACACACAGTAAATGCTCTGTTTAAGAAGCAGGGCAGTTCACTAGAAGACTTCCAGACAGAGTTCTGTACCAATAACTTTCTGGAGATGATTCAGACAGTCCATGTAGTACTCAAAGAAAATATTCGCCCTCGATTTCAAGATCTCTTTCTGGAGCAACGTAGGTAGCTTTTTTGTGCATCTTTATTCTGTCAATAGAATCTATAATTTTATATCTGTACCAACATTTTAAACATAAATTGTAGAAATAAAACAGATTAAGAAATATTAAACATACATGTAAATTTAACTGAAAGGCAGAAAAAGAAAAGTCTTAATGAGTTCAGCTGCATTTCCTGCACACAGCAGCATTTTATGTCAGTAATGTTTCCTCATTTAAAGCCCTAATAAAAGTTTATCATTAATGTTTCTCCATTAAAGGCCTGATAAAAATTTTATCAGAAATGCTGTGTACTTTCAGAATTTGTCTGTCCAAACATTGGTTTCCATGAGTTCCTGTCAAGCACATACCTAAGACAGATCTTAAATTGGCAGAAAGAAAATGGCTGCTTTGGCACAATGCCAAGAAGTGGGGATAAGAAAGACCCTGATTATGAGTATGAAGAAAACTCCACAAAAGGAAATGTTAATGTTCACAAACCAAGTCCTGGGAACCTTAAGTTTATGCCACAGAATCATCCTAATATCTCACAGAGAGGCGTGGTAGTGCAAAGAGGTCAAAAACTAGTGCAACAGTTCTCTAACCAGGACAGTATGAAACACAAGTTGATGCCTCCAGTGTTTGGTTCTCAAGGTTACAAAGCTAAACCCTTACAGAGGGGCTTGTTGTCATTGTCTTCTTCAAAAACATTTAAAAGTAGGAAGCTTCTGGCTGAGAAGGCACTCTCAGGTAAAGAATCATTTAATTTAATCATCTGATTTTGAATATACACAGTTACCAAATTATTTGTAAATAACAGAACTGTTATTCTCTTGCTCATAGAACAGATGGATTTAGAATTAAATGTAATATTTCTGTTGGGGGGAGGGGGTGTCTATCTAGTTTTGGACTACTGGATAATCAAAGTTGTAAAAAACTTTTTCAGATAGCCAGTCAATCGGACTGGCAAGAACACAAAATAAGCCAGTCTGAAGTGATTTTAGCCAGTCCAAAATCTTTTGCAAAAATACAAACAAACAAAAATACATAAAATTTATTTACTCATTACACATCTTTTTACGTCATAATAATATAACATTTACTCAGTCTCCATTTCTAAGTCTTCATTCGTTTTTGGTTTTTGCATTTATAACACATTACTAGATTTACCTCTTTTGAACAGGTGACAATGCTTATCCAGCATAGTATACATAATTTTGTTGAAACATTTATGCATTGGGGAATTTATATCAACCTAGAAAATGTATCTGAGAAATTCTGTGCATCGATAATAAAGATATCAACATGATCGATGAAAAACCAAAATCTGGGAGAGTTAGAGTACTTGATTTATCACTTGCCCCAATTGTGTTTGAATTCTTTCTGTTGAGATTTTTCATATTTAGCTTTGGCTTCATCTTGTTTTTACCTGGTTTCTTGTATAAAGAAAAAGTATTGTGCAATTGCACTTAATATTTTCTACGGTAATGGGGCTGGAAAGTGCGCCGATGATAACAGGAGAAGTACACAAAACTTAACAAAAAAAAAAAAGGATGGTCATTTGGACTGACATCGATGGCAATTTTACCGGTCACATGGATTTTTAATCAGTTTTGCCAGCATGACTGGCAGTTTTCCACAACTCTGGGATAATACCATCAAATAAAAGAACCTTTAAATCAACCAAACCATAAGCACATTGCTTTGCATTTTCAATCATTTTTGTTCAAAATGCATGTTATCTTCCTGAAAATGAATATCTCCCCCCCCCCCCCCTTTTAAATTTTAGATCTATACTAGTCGGTGAGAGTTTCCTTTCAGCATAGATAAAGAAGCTGCAGATCACCCAGAACACAATGAAAATATATTTGTTGTTATTAGCTCACCTGAGCCAAAGGCTCAAGTGAGCTTTTCTGATCAGAATTTGTCCATTGTCTGTCATCGTTGTGGTAAACTTTTTACAATCTCATTTTATTCTGGAGAACCACTGGGCCAATTTCTACCAAACTTGGCACAGATTATCTTTGGGTAAATGGGATTCAAGTTTGAACAAATGAAGGGCCACACCCTCTTCCAAGGGGAGATAATTAAGAAAAAGTAGAAATTGGGTGCAGTCATTTAAAATCTTCTCTCAAGAACTACTGGGCCGGAAAAGATTAAACTTATGTGAAAGCTTCCTGACATAGTGTAAATTCAAGTTTGTTCAAATCATGACCCAATGGGGTAGGGTGGGCAACAATTTGAATGTTTTACATAAGAAGACATACAAAATTTTTATACCCCACGCAACTAGTTGCGGGGGGTATAATGTTTTTGACCCGTCCGTCAGTCAGTCAGCCAGTCCTGTTTTTTTGTCAGCGCAACTCCTCCTAAACCGCTGCACAGAATTTCGTCAAACTTTGCAGATATTTAAGGCACAATGTGTAGATGTGCATATTACCAGGAAATTCCGATTCCTTTATTTTTTCTGGGAATTTAGGCACTTTTTAGCTTAGATTTTTGGCCATATCTTGAATATAAAGACGAACAGTTTGTCAGAGCAACTCCTTTTAAACCGCCGCACAGAATTTCGTCAAACTTTGCAGATATTTAGGACACAGTGTGTAGATGTGCATATTACCAGGAAATTCCGATTCCATTATTTTTGCCCTAAGAGTTTTGCCTATTATTGAAGAAATTTTCCAGCTAGGTAATAAAGGAAATCCACACTGGAATCAGCCTTTGTAATGACATTTTATGTGAAATATTTTATGACCTTAAAAGACCGCTATTGATTTTGAGATCAAAATATTAATGATTTAACACACACACAAAATCTTGAATCTTGGATAGTTCTCTCTCCCCCCCCCCCCCCCCCCCCCCCGTCAAATTGGTACTGTGCCTTAAATAATTTCATATGTACAGTATATAAAAAATTCATATGACTACATCATAATTTTGTTTCCATCAATTATTTAAATGTGTGAGTTGTCATGTGTTGGACATGGACTTACACTCATTAACAAATCGAAATCACTGAGGAATTTAAATAACAGTTTGTCAGCATAACTCCTGCACTGAATTTCCTGAAACTTTGTAGGTATTTCAGACATAAAGTATAGATTTGTATATTACCAAGAAATTTTTATTCCATTATTTATCTAGAAACTTCAGCCCAATTAAATTTGTAACGTACAAAGATTTAAATGTCCTTATATGCAAGAAGTTTTGATGTGATGATTTTTTGCAAGTAATGCTCCTTTTTGAATTATACTGTGTATTTAAAATGCACTGTGCTATTCAGTACATGTTGCATTGTCGAGTTTTGGGGGAGCGTGGGGTATGTGAGCTTGCTCACTTTTTCTTTCATTTTTAAATATCTTCTTCTCAAGAACAGCAAAGTCATGATTAGTCATATTTATATGGAAGCATCTTTAAGTAGTGAAGATTCAAATTTGACCCCCAGGAGTAGGGAGGGGCCACAATAGGTGATCAAATTTTTACATGGGAATTCATTTGATAAATGTTTAAAAATCTTATGATGGAGGACAGCAAAATCATGATTGGTCATATTTATATGAAAGCATACTCAAGTAGTATAGATTCAGATTTGTTCAAATATGACCCCTGGGTGTAGGGTAGGGCCTCACCACAATGGGCAATCAAATTTTTACATAGGAATTTATAAGAAAAATTTTCTTCTCAAGAACAGCAAAGCTATGATCAGTTATATTTATATGGAAGCATCCTCAGGTAATGTTGACTCAGTTTTTCAAAACATGACCCCACAGGGTAGGGTGGGGCAACAATGGGCATTCAAAGTTTTACATTGGAATGTATGGGAAATACCTTGAAAAATCTTCTTCCCAAGAACAGCAAATCCATAATTAGTCATATTAATTCAGAAGCATCCTTAGGTCATGCAGATTCAAGTTTGTTCAAATCATGTTCCCAAGGGGTAGGGCGGGGCCACAATAGAAGATCAAACATTAAAAAAAAATCTTCTAAAGAAATATGGAAGCATCCTCAGCGTGAAATCATGCCCCCCTTTCCCGGGGGGGGGGGGGGGGGTGTATTTGCAATCACAAATACATTTAATATTTTCAATACTGAACCAATTTCTGCTTTTTCCTAGCCAATGTGCTTAGGTGAGCATAGTGGTCCATGGGCCTCTTGAAGGCCTCCATGGGCATTTTGGATCAAGATGAATATCCCTGGATAGGATGACTTGGCCACCAATGAATTGCAAGCTGACTAAAGTTAATAAGAAGTGTATTTGTTAGAGTAAATGACATGACTACTTGCTATTCACTCAGATGCTATTTAGTGTCTGTCTCTCTCTGACAAGACTGGTCTATTTTAAAGTGTCATTATTGTAAATGACTGGCCAAAGTAAGATAAAATTTTGCTCACCGAAATATTTTGATTTATATTCCATGGGTGTGAGTGTGTGTTTGTGGTGGGGGTGGGGTATGCTATACAGATATACTTATAATTTATAGTCACATTCCCTTGTTATTCAGATTTACTTGTATTAATTATTTACATAATGATTTTAACAGGTGGATGTTTGGCCCACAAGACTGCTGTAGCAGCAGGTGCCCTTGTGATGTATCTTAGATACCTCATCTACCCAGGACAGCCTGATATGTTCAACAACCAGGCCATCATTAAATCTAGACTGTCTGCTATTACACCACTCACTGATAATGAAGATGTTGCCTACGCATTATCTATGGGTCAGTCCCTTAAAGACATTCCTAATGGTATGGAAAAATCTCCTCTCAAGAAGGACAATTCAGTCACAGCAAACCGAACCTTGCTGAAAAAGGATTACAACCAACCAAATGCATTAAATAACAATGTGTTGGCAGCCCAGCTGTATGGTAAAAATGACAAAGATGATTATTATTCAAATCAGAAATTGAAGGAGGATTATTATGATGATAAAAACGAGTCTCCAGAATACCCCAAACGAGATCGCAGGAAGTTAAATCCAGACCAGAAAATGGTGCATTTTGACAACGGCAATCAGGATAAAGATAACTATGCAGATGAAGATTACAAAGATGATGATTATAAAGATGAAGAGAGAGAAGAAGAGGACAAAAATGATGAAAGAGATTACCCATACTACGATAACAACCAGAGAAAACAAAGGGAAGAGGCAGATAGAATAGAGAGAGAGGACAAGGACCAGTATCTTAACAAACAGGACAAAGGGGATCATCCAAACACTGTGGCGGCCATAGAGGGAGGGGAAAACCCCCCAGGCAGGTCAGAGAGCCCCTCCCTAGGGACTGTCTTGTTAGGGTTCACTGTTATTTTCTGTGTGCTGTTATTCATTGTCTATCGTTTTATTAGGACAAGACGAGTACATATACGTTATAACCTTAGATCTTTGATGCGACTCTAGAACATTTAAACCTACTTGAAAAAGGTTGAAAAATGTGATTTGAGATCAGATTAATCAAAAACCTGAACTCGGTTCATTGATAATAACTTGATAGTGATCCTTGCCAGTAATTGCCATTTATAATGTTTTTATTTATTGATATAAAAATATATATATTATAGTTTGATGAGTTTGGTTTTTTTCCTAGGGTCTATTTTTTTTTTTTTTCTGAAGATAAGAATGCAATTTACTTAATCAGATTTTATATTCAAATTAATAAAGACTGCCTAAGAGCTTGATGCCAAAATGTGAGAATAGAGAAGCATCCGGATGTAGTATTCCAAGTATTTTATTAATTTTTTTGTTTCATACGATGAGTGTTTTTTACTCAGTGCAATGCATACATACATAAAAAAAAATAGCAGGGTGTTGTTAATTTTAATTGGAGATTTTGTGTGATATTTTTAACTAATTGCTTGCAAATTTGTCATTCTTATAAACGTCCGAAATCATTGAACAGGACAATAAATGTTGTAAGATTTTTATGCTGAAGATATTATACTAGAATGAAAATTATATTGATGCATTTTTTTCATTAAATGACTTGAGTATTTTATGTAGGGGTTACATGAAACCTTTTTTGCATAAAGAGAGTTAATGCTCCTAAAAGTCACATTTGTATTAGTTTTGTTTTGTTCTTGACATGTCTTACATGTAGCATGAAGTTTTTTTTCATATAATTTATGTAATACCATCTGTGTGGAAATGTTTTCAAATGCACTGTATTGTTGTATTTTCACTAAGTCTTCCATAGTGTATAAGCTTATAATTATCTATGGCCTACTTTTTTCATTGTTTTAAAAATTTGTTGGAAACCATGGAGATGGTATATAGTTTTAGTCCACATCATTTCAGTTAGATCTTATCTGTTATTCAGACTCCCTGTTTCAATCTCTGGGGAGTAATTTACATTGGTTATTGAATTCTTACTTGTATTCATTCTGTGTACAACAATAATTCAGTAGCTGATATTAAATTTATAGGTATACATTCAAGCATTATAGGGTTTGTTAAGTATCTGTGATGTTCCCAAACTTAAACTATATTGTAACATTTCAGTACTGAAGTTTTTCTTCATTATGTTATAAACATAGCACTGTAGCTATTTTTTAAGAGTGAGAGTACTTCTACTATGAATTATCTGTAATCACTGTAACTACTTTTTAAGAGCGAGAGTACTTCTTCTATAAATTATCTTAAATGGAGACTTTTGTTAGACTTCTGTTTGTTTCCCCTCACCATTTGATGGACTGGTACAGGGTAAGGAAATTAAGGAGTTTAATTTTTAGTGTGCCTTTTTTTTTTCAAAGTCAGCCACACTGGGGAACAAATAGATTGTTTTAACGGTCATAGCAAGGTTTTTGAAAAGGCGTGCAATGGAAGGTCTTGCAGAGGTATCCCAAAATTAAAATTAGACAATTTTTCATGTATGATACTTTTTGGTTACATTTTACTTAAAAATAGTGAAGAAATTGTAGTAGTCGTACTTTAAACAGACAAATATTAGACTTTTTAAACGTAGAGGGGTGTGATTGCACTCGGTGCTACTGCCCCCCCTTTTCTGAAGGCCTTGTTTTAATATCGGCCTACTCACACAATTGTATTATTGCTGTTTTGTTCCTCTCTAATGAAATAATTGTGTATTTGTTACTGTTAGGTGAATCTCTCTGCTGCTGAATGTAAATTCTGTGATACAAAAGATTCAACAAACAATTCTTATAATTTTTTTTTCAAAACTGAATTATAGGTGAATTTATGAAGGCAGCTTATTAGATAGCTTTAAAGGTTTTACACAAAAGATGTAATCCATATTTGGTGCTTTTAAAACTGTGGGAATCATTGTCCAGTTTTATTTCATGTGTCTTTATGTGAAAGACTCAGGTGAACACATAGCAAGTTACTAAATGTATGTTATATTTGTAGACTAAAATATGTTTTGTTTTTCACATTTAGTGATACCATGTTACAATTTTTTTGGTACCTGGCATTTGAAAACATTTTTTTATTCTGTTATAAATTTTGCTCAAAATTTGAGCTAATGTATAGAATTTCGAAGTCAAAACTGTTTGAAAATTAAAAAAAAAAATTCTGATTCATACACCATTCTGTCATTGTCAAGTTATTTCTAATGATTTGAATGTATTCATTAGTGCCATAACTTAAAGCCATAGAATTTATTTAGTTTATAATGATTTAATGTATATTTTTACTTAGTATGGAAAGTTGATGATAAAATGTTAGTATATTGTTGTTTTGACAATGTGTACATGTTTGATATTTATATATACGTGTATGTGACCAATGGCATTATGGTTGTAGTATATCAAGGATATTGCATGCTGAATTGTGTTATTTTTTACTTCATACACATCATCAAACCTATCTATACACACCTTATACGCACACACAATTTGTTACTGATACTAAGTGTGTATATATTGTAGCCATTTACCATACCCACTGGTATGAGATTTTGTGGAAGAGCAGTTGTGAACATTTTGGGGTTTGGTTTATGGCCTATCATTGTTAATATTTCATTTTTATATGTATCATTATTTCTTCACAAAATGGTGAAATGGTTCATGAAATAATGTTGCAGTGAATACCTTTTGAAAACTACAATAAACGAAATCCAGCAATATGTGGCCATTCTTCTCTCTGTAGACCTTATGCACATTTGAAATATTTATGATAGAAATCATTTTTTGATTTACACCTGTCATAGTACATTACTTTCTTTTACTAAAAAAGCCATGCAAATGAAAGAAGATGGGCGATTAAGGCGAACACAATGCCTATAGTACAACAAACATGAAGGTGAAAAATTAAATCTCTATTATAACAAAATTTTCTTTGATATTTCATCTAAAATTAAAGTATACTTTATGTAAAATCTCCCCCATGTGCAAAAATCTCACTGAAATTGAAATTATTTGCCTATGAAATAGCATACACACACTAGAGAGGCAAAAAAGGATCATTTTCTCATACTAAAACAACTTTTTGATATGAGTGGGTCTTCGCTCCATATTTTTCAAAGTTTATCCTCAAAGTTTGCGAAAAAATATACATTTCTGGTCAACAAAGACCCACTATATCTTAAAAATGCACTTTAATGACATAATTATGCATCTTTCCGAGAAATAAGTCAAGGGTCATATCACAAACATGATTTAAATGCCACAATTCATCAAGATCTGTGTGGCTAATGGTTAGCGTGTTGGTCTCAAAGGAAAATGACACTCAAGATTTTTGTTGCTTTGAACCCTACGAATACCGCATTTTTTATTAACAGAATAATTTTTGGCGAGAAAATTTTCCTCGGAAAAGTTTTGTTTATCATAATTTCATAAATTTCAATAATGAGAATTTTAATCGAAATACTAAATTCACTAATTATGATTTTTATATATCTGAAGCTATAGGCAGTCTGTGCGCCTTGTTTCACCCTTCTCCTTTTTGTGAGGGTGTGTGTGTGTGCATGTATAAAGTACTAAAAAATACTAAACCACTTCATCCAGTGTTAAAGAGTATCAAAGAAATTCAATTGAAAACTTGCACATTTGAATTTTTAAAACATTTTTACATATAGCATGCTTTGAGCAATAAGTTTTTATTAGCAAATAAACATTTATTGAACTCTTTATTAACTATTGCCCCCACCCCACCTCACCCCGCCCACCTTTTCTTTTGTAATTTAAAACTGGCAAAGAAAACAAGAATTTTAAAAAAGTAGGCTAGTTTTTTTTTTTAACTATTTCAGTACTGATTTTGTGAATGTTGTTCTCTAGCTAAATGTACACTGAGGAAACAACGGTCCCTACAAAGTCAGTATTTTTTTCTGAACTTCAAAGGCGGAGTTTTAAGCATAAGAAAGTTTTTATTCCCTTCAAGTGAGTATATCTTTCTTGCTTTATCTAATATTGTTCACGCCGTCCATTCTTATCCTTTTAGCATTTATAAATATATTATATATACTTTTTCTTATGTAGATCTACAGTGCAAACGTCCAAGTCTCCTTGATTCAAGATTAATTCAGAATTTAGTTGATATAGTCCCTTAGTTGAGTACATCTTCCAACAGTTTTAAACACTCGCCCTAGTGTAGTAATTGTTTTATAAGCATGTCTGAGAAGGCAAAGTGAACAATTTTTGCAGAGCAAATCAATTTAGAAAAACAAAACCCATATCAAGATACACAAAATGTTGTTCTCCCAAGTTGAAAATACCAATATGACCTCGTGATTTGACAAATCAGTACTACCATGTCCTGTTTCATTAGGGGCCTTTTGCATAGTGAAACAATTTTTTTCATGTTGACGAATGAACATCAATGATACTTAAAAAAACAAAGCTTGGAAGAATGGGGGAAAATGTATTTTCCTTTAACTGCCATTCCTTGGTGAAAACTGAGTTTGCTCAGATTGATATCAAGAGGGTTGGTACTATATGATTAGTTTCTTTCATCTGTTTATTGTTCATCGTCCATAAGCATTTACAAAATGCTATTCTAGGAACAGTTTTGCCCGATTTTCGTAAAACTTGATACAAGTGTACAGCATATCAAGTAATCCGAAATATCCTACGTTTTCCAGGCTTTTTTACGATTTTGATATTTTACGTGCCAGGAAAACGGCGCCATTATGAAAACTGGGAATTCGCCGTCTCCATCCGGATGCGGCATTTTCGGGTTGATTTTCGATAGTTGTGAACCGAATAAAATGTCAAACTTACAGTTTATCAATAGTATAATACTTTTAGTACTCACCAACATCGTTTTAGGGTTCTTTTTAAAAAATGCAATCCGATGAAAACATTTTATCAGATTGTCGAGGTTTGTTTTCATTTCGTGCTTTTTTAAAATCTCGCAAGTCCTGTATCGAAATGTGGAGTGATCTTTTTTTTTCATCGATACTGGTGAGTACTAAAAGCATTGTGCTATTGATGAATCGTGAGTTTGGCATTTAATTCGGTTCGCAAGTATCGAAAATCAACTCCGGTTGGAGACGGCAAAATTTCCAGCTTTCGTAACGGCGCCGGTTCTGACGTTTTCCTGGCACGTAAAATATCAAAATCGTAAAAAAAAAAAGCCTGGAAAACGTCAGATATTTCGGAGTACATATCAAGATATACACTTATGTTTATTGATTTTGAATTTTTATTATCATTTGGACGTATTACTATGTGTAACCTCCATTCTTGTATGTTGGTAAAGTGTTGAATATTTTCACCTTCTCTGAATCTGCTGATTTTAATTTGATGTCTAACATCAGCGGTTAAACGTTTAGTGCAGGAATCCTGAGTTCAGAGCTCAGGTCCAGTTTAGGTCGTTGTATATGTACATGTCTATCTTTTATCATCACTCGGAGCAGTCAATCACGATGCAAAAGAGTTTTCTATCAATATCGCAAATTTGTGTACCGTTTGTGAGAAGTTCAAACCATAAGGTTGTTAGGTTGCCTTTTTAGGTCACTTGAGTTTACTCAGGTGTAAACTCAGGTGACCAATTGCTATCTGTTTTCGGCCGTCGTCGTGCGATGTGCGTCAACATTTGATTGATTGATTGATTGTATGTTGTTATACGTCCCATTCGAGAATTTTTCACTCATATAGAGACGTCACCATATACCGGTGAAGGCCTTCAATTTTTGACCTTTACTCGGCACTCAGAGTCATTGAGCAGTGAGGGATCTTTATCGTGCCAACGCCTGCCGTGACACGGGACCTCGGTTTTTAAGATCTCATCCGAAAGACCCGCAATTTTCACTTCAAAGTGCCGAGCGCATGGCGAAGAAGCAGTTGCTACCCATTTTTTATCGACTTAGGTCAGTCGCGGCCGAGATTCGAACTCACGACCTCCCGATCACGAAGCGAGCGCTCTACCGACTGAGCTACCTTGAACGGCTGTTAACATTTGAACATTTTCAGATTCTTCTCTGAAACCGCTGAACTAGTTTCAGCCAATTTTTGTATATAGCATCTATTGGTGAAGTGGAGGAAAAATTGTGAAATTCATGGCCCTTGCCCCGGGGGGGGGGGGGGGGGGGGCAGGGGGACTGAGGAGTAGGGCTTAAACCGTCAAGATTAATGCCATCTTTAAACATATGCTTCTTTACTCCTAGACATAAAGCAGTCAATCAGATGGCATGATTTTAATAAGAATTGAGACCTTGTACCAAAATTGTGAAATCATTGTCAGGGGTTCTGGTGTTAGGGTGGGACTCTGTTGAAAATGTAGTGAAAATGCATTATTTCTTTAAAAAAATCTTCTCTCAGCTCCTTTGTATTAAGCAAAAAAAAAATAAAAATAAATGCATAGTTATGACGAGGAAGGATGCCTCTTCCAAAATTGTGAACTTTATGGCAGGGTCAGTGGTTCTGTTGTCAGGGCGGGATTCTAATGATTACATAATGAAAATGCATTAATTCTTTGAAAATCTTCTCCTCTGCTCCTGGGTATTAAGCCGATGAACAAAGTACATAGTTATAATGAGGAAGGGTGCCTCTTCCAAAATTGTGAAAGATGTGGCCCTTGGGTCGGGGGTTCTGTGGGTGGGCTTATTTATTATATACTGAAAGTGAATTAATGCTTTGAAAATCTTCGCCTCTGCCCCTTGGTATTAAGCAAACAAACTAAATGCATGGTTTTGATCAGCAAAGGTGCTTCTTCCAAAATTGTTAATTTCATGGCCCTTGGATCAGGGGTTCTGGTGTTTAGACGGGATTCTATTGATTATTTAGCAAAAATGCATTAATACTTTGAAAATCTTATCCTCTGCCCCTGAGTATTAAGCAAACAGACTAAATGCAATAATATAAAAATAAATATATAAATATAAGTAACTGTGCCTTTTCTTTGCTCCTGGGTGTCTAGAAGGCAAACAGAGTACAAAAATGTACACAATTTTAATAAGTGACGCAAATGAGAGTTACTCCCCTTTGCTAAATTGTGTTCAATCAAGAAATCCTTGTATTTAACTTCATTAACATTTTATTTGATGGAATGAGAATACAAGAAAGAATGTTATACATATAGATCAGAGTTTAGTTGGCAAGAAACTGCAAAAAGTTGTTTTATACTTTATCAAAGTGAACAAGTGAACAGAGAACCAGGATGACTAGGGGACATGTTGTAGTTACTGGCAAGTGGCAAATAGCCATGTTGTATACTAAATCAAGTGGACAGTGCTGATATATATGCAAGTGTTGGTACCAGGTGTTGCCAAGTGGCAAGCAGCTAAGCTGTAGCACTAGGCAAGTGACAACAACATCTCTGTATATATTGGATACTTTACACACTAGGCAAGTGTTCATTGTAATTGTATTTGTATAATTTGCATTCATTATCATCCCTGTAAGACTTGGGGAAACCAAGTAGGCTCCCAAGGAGATCACTCGAATCTCGCACGTTACAATAAGCAAGAGTATTTTTACCAGATTTTTTAAATTCTTGGGCAACAAAGCTTCATCTATCAGTTAATTTTGTTTTATACTTCTATTGATTCTTTACACCCAGGTGACCGTTAAGGCCCTTGGGCCTCTTGTTCAACATTGTAAAATTAGTGACTGGCAATTATACGTGTGTATATTTCAAGTGATGGCTGGAAAATGTGAGATGTTAACATATATAATAGAATGTTGTCACAGGCGCTTGTTTCATACAGTATGCGAGTTTACTACTATACTGTGTATAATACGTGTTATTGTTTTAGTAAACTAGCATACTGTTTGAAACAAGCGTCTGTAAATGTTGCTTATGACTAAGAGATCTGTACATGCATTAGGGGTTCAAGGTCATGTTATTATTTAGTAACAGAGAAAGATGAGATCTTTGTTGACAAAAAGATTTTTTTTATTTAAAAATTATGATTTTGCTTTGAATTTTTAGGATAATTTCGAGGAACTTTTTCATGAAACAATCATTACTGCCACAGGTACTTTTTTCTGTAATAAAATAAATATAGGATATTCAATGTTTTGTTGTTGGATGTATGAAATTTATTTCACGAGTGGGACAGAATTTTTTTTTATAAATTTCACGAGTGCGAAGCACGAGTGAAAATATTATAAAAAAATCCTGTCTCACGAGTGAAATAAATTCCATATCCAACTAAAAAACATTGAATTTTCTGTTTATTGTAATTTCTTCGATTTCTTTTTGCCTCTGTCTTTTCATCAGTGTTATAGGCTGAGTTTAGCAGTTGTGAGATTGAAAACATTTTAACATGGATTTTAGCAATATATTTGGGAGGAAATTTAGTTTTAGTCTCTATGAAGATGGTTTAAGGTCAGATGATACGTTCCTCAAATATCTGTTTTGTATATCTTTGTATTGTATTGAAAATATTCCAAATTTTAATTACCTTCTAATTTCTTAACTTGTTTCAAATTGTATTTAAAAAATTGAAAGACTAAAAAAAATGTGATTTTGGCAAATCAAGTTCTTTCCAAAGGGATTTTATAGGTAAAAACATCCTCTGGTATCGTGCACAAATGCTTGGTAAGGTACCTCAATTTTTTGCGAGTAAACATGTCAAAGTAGCAATACTTCAATGAAAAATCTTAGAAAAAATTATATATTAGTGAGGAACGTATCGTCTGTCCTTAATTACTATCTCTATCTTATGACAGGCCAGAAATTATTTTACTTTCTTCGATATCCTTTCACACTGTGACAGAATATCATTTTTGTATCCTTTCAAACTGTGATAGAATATCACTTTTATTTAATAAATGAACCATAGTATTTCACTATTGAAAATATAATATTCTTTTAACCCATACAGTGTAGTATACTAGTAATTATAATAACAGTAAAAGAAAATAAAGACAAGCATGCAAAGTATGTTTTTGTAGATAAATTATCGTAGAAAAGAATGTTAATAAACGGGTTGCCAGTGCATTTTCTATAAAAGTGTAAATGTCCAAGTAATTTAGAATCAGAAACTTTGATATTATTATACCATGGGTAAAAAGAATTACAGAAAAAAGTGCTTGCTAATATTCTATGCGTTAAAAATGTTTTGGATAAACAAGTATCGATCAATGACTAAACCTTACACAGTAACATTCATAATTTTACCTAAAAAGGTCACTTGAACAGATGAATTTGTACTCGTTTTGGAACCAATGTCAAAGGGTCATTAAAGATTTCTGTGGTATTTCTGGCCCTAAATTCTATAACTAGAGTAACTATGGGATAACATAATTCAATCCCTGTTTCATGTTGTAAAGCAGCATTCTTTTGAGATTACATTTTGTATTTTATTTATGCCCTTCAAACTAATGTAGAATTTGTAAAAGATAGTGTATATGTACTTGTTTTTCAAATACATGTATGTATAATTATGTAAAATTATGTGTGTTTTGAAACACATCAATCTGTACATACATTAAGAGTTCAATGTACTGAACATCATCCAATTAATATCAATTAATATAAAACCTACATGTATTTATTTCTCGCTTAAGTAGTTTTCACAATGGCTATACACGGAGAAAGAAGCAGTTAGCGTTGCAAAACCTGCGACAACAGAAGCAGAGGTTGGCATATCACCAAATGTCAAGTTGTCAGCTCCAATATCGCGTTTGTTCTTTGAGAAGTTTTCTGCTGCGTCACATTGTAACAACACTCTCGGGAGGATAATGGCTGGCTGGGGCGCAGCTTCCATATCATTGAAAGTCGCCTTAATCGTTCTTTGTCTCGCATTCGTGATCTTTATTATTGGGTTCGCGACCAAAGGATGGGCCAAAACCGAGTACCCATCAGAGATAGTGGAAATCTCTCGCAGAATTCCTATCTATGTAGAACTGGAGCTGGGTCTTTGGCGGTATGAATATTGCAACAAGGCACGATATGACTATCGGTACAGGGATAATGATATCAGAAGGTACAATAGAAATAGACACTTCGTGTGTACTACCAATGACATCGACCTATTTATTGGAGGACTCAGATACTGTGCAGGTAACTTTTTAAAAAACAAAGTCTAAGATTTGTATTTTTAGCTCACTTGAGCTAACCAAATCCCCAGATTCGAATTTTTAGCTCACTGAGCTGAAAGCTCAAGTGAGCTTTTCTGATCACATTTTGTCCGTCGTTCGTCTTTCTAACTGTCCGTCCGTCTGTAAACTTTTCATATTTTCGACTTCTCCAAACTCACTGGGCTAATTTCAACCAGACTAACCACAAAGCATCCTTCGCTGAAAGGGATTAAGATTTGTTCAAATGAAGGGCCACACCCTCTTTCAAGGGTACATTTAAGAATTGGTGGAAATTTGGTGGCATCTTTAAAAAATCTTCTCAGGAACCACTCAGCCAAAAAAGTTGACACATATGAAAGTTTGTTCAAATGGGCAATCAAAGTTTTACATAGGAATATATAGGAAACAAAAATCTCTTTCTCAAGAACAGCAAAGCCATAATTGGTCATATTAATATGGAAACATTCTCAGGACCACTTAAACCTTTAAACTTTTCAATACTGAACTGATTTTTGCTTCTCTCAGGTGAACGATGTGGGCCATTGGCCTCTTGTTTATTTTCTTATCTGATGTTGTTCCATTTGGCATACATTAAATCAGGGCAATAGTTCACATAGATCTTAGATGTTTGTTGTCTAAAACAATTGATTTTCTCATTACATCGCAGGCCCGTAGTAAGCAATTTCAGTTGGGGGGACCGATTTTTTTAATTGGGGGGCGGCACTACCAAGAAAAAATTCCTTGACAAACGGGGAAAAAGAAATTAAGAAAAAAATGATAAAGTAATTATTGAGGGGGCTCACCAATAAAGAAGCTTTGTTTTCTATAGTATACTTTATATCGGCAGATTTGGGGGGTTGGGGTTGCCCCCGGTTCCTTTGGCTGTGAATCTGGATGAGGGCATGTCATTCACTAGCATCGCAACATCGACTCTGTTTCGATGGCAAGATGACGCAATGATGGATTACGATTAAATAATGGTGGGATACGATGGCACTACGTTGCAATAGCACGATGATGCTGCTGCGAGGCACGATTGAGCGATTGCACAATATAATACATGTAAGCATTGCGCCATTGCCACCGTGCCATCGCGCTATTGGTCTATCGCATTATTGCTATTGTCATCGCACCATTGACGATCAACCTAAAGGCGAATTAAGAATTGCGTTGCCCTATCCGATTTTGTCATTTTTCGTGGCATTACTGCGTTATTTCTCCCCTACAGACTGGTACCGGGCAGTGCAGGCGATGGAGTGCCTGGGGTTGATCCTGATGGCGGGAGCCTTAATTCTGCTCTTCCTCTATTTCTTTGTCGATTCTATTAAACAGAAGAAATACTTGTATATCATCATTGGATTAACATTTGGCGCAGGTGAGTGACAAATATTGCGCGTCTATTTTTCAACTGATGAAAGGACTTTATCAACATTATAGTTTAGAATAGAAATTAACAAGAACTTTGGTTATTCTGCAGCACTTCATAATCTATTGATAATTGCAATTCCCCTGATTATGATTCAGTCTGAACAAAATGAATGTCACGAATAATTTCAGCAAAAAAACTATATAGCTTAATGAAGATTTCATTCTTCTGATTTCAGTGGTATGCATTGTAATTGGTGTGGCGGTTTTCGGGTCTAAAATCAAGGAGACAACTTATGTGTTTTACTTGTACAAACTTGGCTGGTCCTTTGGTTTGGCGGTGGCTGGCGCCATTTTGGCATTTGTTGCGGGAATCGCAGAAATTGTAGAGCTCCGGAAGTGATTTGATTGTTGTTTGGAAGTTGTTTGATTTCCGGTTTTACAGATGGATCTTTCCTGTCTCAGCTGTTTAAAACAGATTTGAGTGCAGTTCCGATAAAAGACTTTATAATCAAACTCTAATTTGTCGCATGCCAGTGACTTATAGAATGACTATTGCATTTTCAGGTACTGAATTACGCTTTCAGAGTGCCTTTTTGACTTTCAGAGTGCCTTCGTTAACTTGAAAGCATCTTTTGATGTAGTGCTTTATCTAAAGGGTGTGTGCATATATTTATAAAAAAAAAATTTTATTGCATCCAAGAATTACAGAGAAATAAACAATTTTTAATAATTTCGGCCACATTTTGGCCTACCCTTTAATTTGTCAAATACTTGCAAAGATCTTCCAGGAATAAAACGAGCATCTTAATTAAATTGTTGATGTTACATACAATTGTATTATCATTACAATTTTAAAATATCAAACACATTATATTTATTTACGATCGCGTTCGTCTTTGCGTGGTATGTCATGCACATGTACAATGTATAGGGGTGAAGATGGGCTTTCACTATTAATTTTATTGTGTCTGATAAATGAAATGCCTTACAGAGATAAAATACAGTTTTTCTCTCCTTTCTGTCACCGTTGCTCAGAAATTCCTCCTTTGGAATCGGGGATTTTATGCGAAGATTTTCACTTGGACTTGAATATCTTGCACTTCACCCTGTATGGAATAATAATTAAAAGAGTTTTAAAATTTACCTGCAAAATTAGAACCTTTCTTTTTATTTCTTCGTTATACGATTCATGGAATATATTTCTCATTACATTTATTTGTTGCTTCTGCTGTTTACAGCGGTTAATATTGTCTTTCTGTTGAAAATGACGACTTGAAAGCAATCAATTGAAAAGGTAAGAATTCAAGGAATCCCAGTCTTTCAAATGGCGACAGAACTTCATTGAATTATGAATTCTGTAGAGGAATATGCCATATGGAAGACTAAATAAAGTAAATATGAAGGGGAAAATCCCGAAATTCTCAAAATAGATTAAGAGTTTTAGATTGCATTAGACAATTAACTAAAGGGCAAAATGGAAATCATTGATCCTTCCGCTTTCAGCAGAAGTGATTAAAAAAAATAAGAATGACTACAAAAAAAAAATATTTTATGGTTCTACCAAAGACAAAGCTTGTAACAATATAGTCTTTGTAAGGCTCATTTTAGAATAAACTTTGTTTTAACTCCACCCCAGGTAATCCAGCTTATACCCGTAGTTCCCTTTCAAACGATGAATTTCTTCAAAATCCCTTTTCAGTTTTAAATACGTTTAACATTCCAGTCAATGGAAGTGAGTTTTACTTATCGTGTAACGGATGCCAAAATCTCATAAAAATCCTACAAAAATACAAATATATACATGTACATTTAACATGGTACTGTAATTTTTTTTCAAGCTACTATCTTTACTCTTCACAAAAATATTAACTGCTGTAAACGAGAAATTTCAGACGTACTGTGCTACAACATATTCTAGAACATTTAAAAGATTTAAGATAATTTTTCTTAAAATCGAAACGTATGGATTTACAACGCTATATGTACATGCAACCATCCCTCGCGATAACTTAAAGACCAGTTTTTGACATCATAGAGAATTGCTTCTCCAATAAAAATGGAATTCGTAAATTGTCATACCCTGTGAATGGTCTTCAACAAAATTATATTGTTGAAAATCATTTTTATTCTTCACACAAGTAATCAGAAGTTGATGCTGGAGTTCCTTATTGACAGTACAGTATCTATATAAATGCTGGAGTTCCGTATTGACAATACAGTATCTATATAAATGCTCAATGGAGTTCCGTATTGACAATATCTATATATTCTTTGGAGACCAGGACTGTGTTCAAGATCCGAACAGCTAACCTTGCTGCTTGGTATCAAGGTCTGTTTGAACGCACTGTATGAATTAATGTTTGTTACTGCTAAGCTAGCAAATCTGTTAAGATCGTAGCGGCTGCGCAGAACTACGTAGCCTCTACGATCTTGAACGCAGCCCTGGTCTTCCAATAATCTGTTGAAAATTTTGACGGTCACTAACTGTGCTCTCTAATTAACCGACCTGTTTTATAATATTCTTTTGAAGCTGTCTTTATTGTTTTTAAAAATCTTCGGAAGAAAAAAAAACTATTTCTGTGACCTTCAATTCGGCATTTAGATAAATCGATGACGTTCTTTTAATTACCAACTAGATGAAATTGAATTTATACCACTACCGACAGAAAATATATTGTAGTTTCTACTGACAGCCTACAGGCTTATAGCAGGAAGAAATACTTTGTTCAAAATCCCGCATGAAGTAGATGTACGTCTCCACCACCACCCCCAACCCTTTTCGTAAATACTTGAAAAATAACAATTTCTTTAATTGACGTTTATTGTGAAACCTGTTATACTATGTTATAGATATTGTACGTCAGAAGCTCTTATTTCACTTCCGTCAAGGATAAAAGCAGCGAATATGCATATTTTACTGATGAATTGATTGGGAAGGGGGGGGGGGGAGGGTAAAATGCACAGGTACTTGGGTCTTGGTTTATAAATATGTATATACCCTATTGATATGTAAAAATATACTTTACTTTTTCACATATCAATAAGGTACATACATATTTATAAACCAAGACCCGTGCAAGTACAGGGTCTGTGTAAAAATTCTTTTAACGCCCTGTGAATAGGCCGAGTATTTGATACAAAAAAAATGTATTCAGAAAAAAAACCCTGAAAATGTGGGAAAAAGAAAGAAAGAAAAGAAACAAGAAATACAAAATACAAACAAACAAAATTGGTACTTTGCTATCAACGATAACAACAGCAGAAAACTCTGGCCAGCTGTCCACCAGGAGAGTTTTATCAGTCAGTAGTCCTCTCCTCAGCAATTTGAAGTGAGTGAAAGCCTTAAAAGAACATTATACTCGTATGCAATAAACGCAATAATATTTTTGCGTTTAAACGCAATAATATTGCGAGTAAACGCAATAATATTGCGATTAAACGCAATAATATAATAATATTGCGATTAAACGCAATACTTTTGCGATTAAACGCAATAATCTTTGCGTTTATACGCAATAATTTTGCGTTTAAATGCAATAATCCTTCCTTTTAAGGATTCGTTTTGCATTTAAACATAATGGTTCTGTAGTTTCAAAATTAGACATCAATAAGCCAAAGCTTATGATTACTAAGATCCGACACATCAAAGAACTGTTTGGTTCTGTGTCTTTTTGCAAAATTTTCCAATTTGTGAAAATTGTAATAAAACAATGGCATCCTAACAACCAGAATGTCTTTAACCTATTAGAACCCAACACTCTTAATGAAGCCTTTGATCAATTACTTACGTATCACAATTAAATTAAGAACGTTTCAGTGGTATTAATAAAAACTTGTCAATTTGGTATAGTACATATCGATCAATCTGTTTTCGTTTGATTTTGATCTCAAATGATTCCATCGCCTATGTTCTTGTGTTTACCTTATTCAATCGTAGGAAAGGTTGTGAATATACATTTAAGTCTAAATACTTCATGTTGTACGTAATTCCAACATTTCATTAGTCTTTTCCTGAACCCATTTATACATGAGTAAGAATTTGTGACCGCAACGTGGGGGGGGGGGGGGGGGGTAGATTTTTAATCAATTTTTCTTCTTTAGTCCTTTTTTTAGAAGATCCATTCTAATTGTTTGCAGAAATTGTTTCAAAGTAGAAAAAATAACAAAATAGAAAAGTGATTTATGATTGTAAGCAACTGACCAAATCTTCATTAAGAATATAGCGATAAAAAGACATGTTTCGTTCTTAGGTTGTCTTTGTTTTTACAACGCGACTTTTTTTTCTCCTCTATAAATTCACATCAGAGATTTATCCTTTCAGAGAGCGTTTGCTCGGAGGAATCTGATTCTATAAAGCTAGACATTACACAATTTCCTTATAAGTAAAAAAGAGAAAGAAATAAAAAATTTCATTTTATATGGGTCCGTTGTGTTCTGTAAGATTTAATACAAATGATTGCCTTTAATCACAAAGATTATTGCGTTTAAACGCAAAGATAATTGAAAGATTATTGCGTTTAATCGCAAAATTATTGCGTTTAAACGCAAAAAGTATTGCAATCTTTTGTGATTAAACGCAAAGTGTTTTGCGTTTAAACGCAATATACATTGCGATTAAACGCAATCTTGTGCGTTTAAACGCAATGATTATTGCGATTAAACGCAATGCCATAATTATTGCGTTTAAACGCAATAAAAAATATTTCTTTCTCTGAACTGGCCTCAACGGGCTTCCGTAGAAAGGGGCTTGTTAGAACATTTATTGGATCCTGCAGTTTGTTTGAAAATATTTTTTGGATATAGGTACTACCTTTACTTGATCCAAAGAATAAATATTTCTGTTAATTCCGCTGTTCCTATACGTATTTTGTGCTCTGCGTTATTTCTCTTTTTTGTTGTTCAGTGGTCATGGTATAGCCTTGTGGTGGGGCTATGGCTTCGTGATCGGGAGGTCGGGGTTCGATTCTCCTTCGCCGTGGCGACGCAAACATGGGTAGTGACTGTTCCTTCCCCAAGCCCAAGGTATCAGAAGTGAAAGTCACGCGTCTTTCAGATGAGATCATAAAACCGAGGTCTCTTGTCACGGTAGGGAGTAGCATGAGAGAGAACTCTCACTGCTCATTGGCCCTTAGAATGGCCCTGAGTGCCAAGTTTAAATCTAAATTTGAAGCTCTTCACCGGTATATTGTGACATCTCTATATGAGTGCAAAATTTTTAAACTGGGACAAAAAACAACATATTATCAATCAATCTGTCGTTCAAATATTTTCACAATTAAACTACAAATAGTAAACTGCAGAAGAATATTTGAATGGCAAGCGTATATAGCCATTATTTTCATGGAAAGTCACAGATGTTTCATTTCTCTCTTCTACACAAGCAAACACCAATTGTCCGTCCTTTACCAATTTCTGGGCCAGTATCCTTGTTACCACACTTCCCAGTTTGAGCCTTCTATACTCTGGCTCAACATGCAACATCCCGACTGCACCATATTCCTGCTGAAACTCCCAGGCAACAGGGCGTCCGTCCTCGGTTTCAATGCAGACTGTTGGAAAATTATCAATGTGATAACGTATCCATTGTCTCAGATCTGCGTATTGTTCAAATCCGTCCCTATAAGGCCATGCATTTCTTACATTTTCTACGTGAGTTTGCTGTAATTCGGATAGCTTGAATCCATCAGGAATTTTTCTGAAGTGACAAAACAGTTAAAACAAATACTGGTGTACCAGTAAGATAAAAATTTGCTCATTGTAAAACATATCAACTTTTGAAGTTTTTATCAAGGGCAGTAAATATTGTTCCTTTTATTAACTTAATTAACTAGAATAATTCTTACAAAGGAAGAATCTTATCAGGTGGAAATGTATAGACGTATGCACTTTCATCTCCTTTTCGAATGGGACTGGACTCTGCAGACTTGAATAAGTTAACCAAGGAATCCATCACATCTTCCGTACACCCTGTTAAATTATCGAGACAATCCATTACCATGTTGATATTTAATCTAAAGAATTGACATAAGTTTCATTAAAACAACAACGTTACACATGTGATGTAAATGTTGACCAGTCGCCAGGGGATGCTTATTCCTCCTAGGCACCTGATCCCTCCTCTTGCGTTTCGTATTGTTTACAAGATTTATGAGATTTACCACTGTTCCGTATTTTACATTAAAGTTAAAAGGCAATGTGCGAAACATCTATCCTTCTGTTTTCACTAAATTGGAGGTGATAAAAGAAATAGAAAGCCTTATAAACAGTGTTTTATGGTCCCAGCAGACAAAGCTTGTAATAATGTCCTCTTTGTTTGTAAGGCTAATTATTGTAATTGTATTTTTGTAAGAAAACTTGGTTTTAATTCTACGTCTGGAAATTCAACCTATACTCATAGTTCACTTTCTAAGGCTAAAATTCTTCAAAATCGCATTTCAGTGTTTGATACGGATGGCATTCCAGTCTTCCCTACCTATACTGGATTCCTAAACTTCATAAATTCATGATACAAAGATATATTGCCAGGTCCAGTAAATGCTCTACCAAGCCCCTTTCATTTTTTCTTTACAAAAATGTAAAAACTGCTGTGAAGGATGTACTGTGCTACAGCATATTCTAGATGTGGTGTAAATTTGATGCAAATTCTCGAAAACTCTAAACAACCTTCAGAAAATTTAAATCACCATTTTTTTTTTTCTAAAATCAATAACATCAAAACGTACAACTTTTAATTTCTGCAATTTATATAACCATTTCTTACGATAAATTAAAATGTATTTTTTATATGATAGACAACCGCTTCTGCAAAAAAAAATAAAAATTAAAAAATGGAACTGGGAAATTTTCGAATCTTGTGATTAGTCAAAAACAAAATTGCTTTGTTAAAATTCACTCTAAGTCTATATACAAGTACTCTGAGTTTCGTGATCGGGAGACCAGGCTTCGATTCTCGTTCGCCGCGCCGCGTCAAACCTAATACGTAAACATATGTGGTGACTGTATGTAAACATATGTGGTGACTGTATGTAAACATATGTGGTGACTGTTCCTTCGCCAAGCGCCCGGCAGTAGAGGTGATAGTCACGGGTCTTTCGGATGAGACCTTAAAGCCGAGGTCCCGTCTAGCGCTAGGAGTTGGCACGACAAAGAACCCTCTCTGCTCAATGGCCCTGAGTGTCGAGCATAGTTCTAAATTTGAAGCCCTTCACCGGCATACGGTGACTTCTCTATATCAGTGAAACATTCTCGAATGGGACGTTAAACAATATACAACCAATCAATCAATCTACATGAGACAAAGAAAACACTTGCTTTGGCCTTCAACTTGACATTCAGATATATCGACGACGTTTTATCAATTAACATTAGTTACTTCCATTCATATGTCGACTTGATATATTCCAGTGCAATGAAATTAAAGACATAATAGAGTCTGCCACATCTGTTTCATATTTGGATGTTTTACTGACTATATACGATATGGGCCTCCTTACAACTAAATTGTATGACAAAGAAATGCCCTCAACTTTTCCATCGTCAACTTTCTTTATTTATGTAGTACCATTCCGCTATCACTTGCATATGGTGTTTACGTCTCTGAACTCAAAAGCATACTTTGAGAACGATCAGTTTTTAAACTGAGGCAGGCTACTGACAGATAAGTTGATGTTACAGGGATTTCAACAACCTCGTTTAAAGTCAGCATTTTGTAAATTTTCTGGTCGTTATAGTGACTTTGATAGCAAATAAGACCTATCGTTTGGTTGTATTTTGGCTGACATGTTTTATTCCAATTGCTAGGCCTTTGTTTTTATACTCAATTTGACTACGGACTGTTCCGTCTACCTGATCAATATATGGGGCTCATGGCAGGTAGGGCTGTGTATTGGCTACAAATTTTTTTTATTGCGATATATTGCGATATTTTTTACTGTATTGTATTGCAAGATTTTCAACAGAAATTTAAATGAAATTTTCTTATTATATGAACTTCCTTTTACACGTAGAATGTACATAACTATGATAAATAACCAATAAAAGATATCTTGTTGATTGAATTACAGTTATGCAACTAAATACACCCATATGTTAACAGCTTTTGTCTTACTGTTTGGCATGATCGCAAACCTTTCTGACAAGTTTTCTTAAAATTTTATGTTAGGATTCCTGAGTCCAAGCATTTTGCCGGTATATCGGTATTACAAAAACGTATTGCAATACGATATTTTTGTCAACATACCGCAATATACCGGAATATCGGTTTTATTGCCCAGTCCTAATGACAGGTGTAACCGGTCAACAGGTGATGCTTACTCCTGTATTGTTTGTAGATTTTTTTAGATCGAGCACTGTTCATTATCTTCACCTTTTTCATATAACAAGCAGTCAAGGGGTACGGATTCGATTCTCTGCGATGCCCTGTTATACCATAAGTTCTACTTAGTATATTAGCTGCTGGGTAACAGTTGACAAGCAGAAAACTTCAAGAAATTAAAAATATTGAAATAAATGCTACCAAGGGAAGTTTGCATTCTGATAACAAATACAACCAATGTAAATGTCTCCACCCTTTAAATCCCTAAAGGATTTAATCGATCCTGTTGTTGCTTTAGAAATACCATAAAGAAGATTCATTAAGATAACTACTGAGAATTATTGAACGCATCAAATAAGTACTGTTGAACACATTAAATACATGTTATATCATGACATTAAGAGACTTTAAACTCAAGATTTTCAACTATCTCCGTTTAAAGTCGCCATTTCGCAAATACTATGTTCCTCATATTGACCTTGTTTGTATATACATCATATCGTGGGATCATATTTTGACTGACGTGTTTCCCACCAATAGTTAAGTCATTGTTTTTATACCATTTTGACTACAGATTACCTTATTCTGCAATACAGAACGGCAGGTGTATCCGGTTGATAGGGGATGCTTACTCCTCTTAGGTACCTGATCCCACTACTGGTGTGTCCAGGGTTCGTGTTTTTTCCCTGTTCATGATTCGCATTCTTCACTGGATTTATAGAATAATCACTGTTCGTTATCTTACCATTTACATCTTTAGGATTGACCAGACACTGATTCGTATTAATCACAGTTCGTTATCTTACCATTTACATCTTTAGGATTGATCAGACACTGATTCGTATTAATCACAGTTCGTTATCTTACCATTTACATCTTTAGGATTGACCAGACACTGATTCGTATTAATCACAGTTCGTTATCTTACCATTTACATCTTTAGGATTGATCAGACACTGATTCGTATTAATCACTATTCGTTATCTTACCATTTACATCTTTAGGATTGATCAGACACTGATTCGTATTTATCACTGTTCGTTATCATCTTTAGAATTGAGCAGACACTGATTCGTATTAATCACTATTCGTTATCTTACCATTTACATCTTTAGGATTGATCAGATACTGATTCGTATTAACCACTGTTCGTTATCATCTTTAGGATTGATCAGACGCTGATTCGTATTAATCACTGTTCATTATCTTACCATTTACATATTTAGGATTGATCAGACACTGAAGTTATGGTCTATCTGAAATTACAGTCATGAAAAAAAAATCACTGGGGTGTGATCTAGGTTGGTCATGTGGTCAAATCCTGTCAGTGAAGTTTGAAAGGCTTTCTGTTCTGCAATAAATAGAGTACCATATTTGTGACAGAAAAGGTCAATATCCACGAAAATTGAAACCGATATGCATTTTTTCTTTTAAAATACCTTATAAGATCTTGGTCAGATATCTTGCACAGGTACCTATTTGGTATAATACAAATCTACATATATAACCATTTTAACCTTAACCTGGGTTTCTCCGACACGGAAAAGATAACATGCATTGATTTAGACGTGACATGCTAGAAAATAACACAGTTTTAAAGAAACGACCTAAATATGGATTTATTGCTTTGACAGTTTGATGTCACAATAAACATTCACATTTGAAACTCTAACGTGATAAACCATATTATAGAACATTGAATATCAATTAATTGTTAGGGCACACTGGTACATTACTTTTTTTTTTATTTTGTCGGTCTCGTTACCTGCAATGATTAAAGGTGATGCTAGCACTTTGGAGGCATGGCGCAATAATTTTTCTAGGGATTGGCAAAAGTCTGGATCTTTACAGAAACCAATTGCCCAAGCCGTAGTCTCTTTTTTCTGTAAAAGAAGTTAAGATTCATTCAAGTTTAGGGGAAATTGAAACTAAACTATACATTATAAGACTTACCTTGCTGTCAACAATAACAAGAGCAGAAAACTCTGGCCAACTGTCCACCAGGACTGTTTTGTCAGTCAGTATTCCTCTCTTTAGTAATTTGAAGTGAGTGAAAGCCTTAAAAACACGATATTTTATATATGTATAAAAAAACTTCCTCCATCCAAGTAGATAACAAGGCGATAGAAACGAATAATGATAAAATATATATTGTATTATTGAATGATCGTCTTAATGGTCGTGTTCAGTCAACGGAAATAATGATTATGTCTGTCAAACTGCGTTAATCTATAAAAAATTGAAGATTTTTACAAAAATGTATTATGAAAATACATTATCCGGGAATTTCAAAAAGTCATGGAGATACTGAGTAACAAAATTTATTCACTGGGTTTCGGTAATTGATAAGAAGAACACATATATACAAAACTTTTATGGGCTATAAAATGAAGCAATGAAATGCAACAGTCATACATACAAACAAAGAAACAGGTAGGGCAGTCTCCAAGTCCTTCTCCAACTTGCCATACTCTGTTGGGTCCAACACTCGAACAGCCATTTTGTCCTATTATATCAGACCCGTGACTGGTATTCTGAATCTACGAGTACCTACTAGGCTATCTACATAGTATTAATTTTATCGCATCAGTCCACGAACTTTTTGATAACCCCCCGTATAGTTTACATAATATGAACCAAACTGAATATCTAATTGAATGTCTCCACATATGAATCACCTTTGCTAACCACCGTTCCAATCCGCTCTTGATCAAAGGAGCGGATCTAAACCTTTGGCTTGCCAAGCTGTACATGAATATATTAGTGATCCTTAGATAAAGAAATGCATCGTCTGGTGTTTCTTTGCATTTTAGTTTATGAGATTGCATAAAATATGTACCGTGTAAGTCTTATTTGTAAATTGAGAAAACGCCATGCATACGACATCATGAAAGTAACCTATATTCTTGCATCTTCTGAATTTTGACATGAATTCTGAAATGTCACCAAATTCAATGGTAAACAAACGTTTAAAAACAAATGATTAATTCGTGTTAAAAGTTAGGGATGGATTCTACAAAATCCAAATTGGCTGAGATAGTCAAAAGTTAACTGAAAGTTCTTTTGCACTAATTTGAATAATACATAACGTACTTTAATGTTTTAAATGAATAAATAAGGTATTTGATAAAAATTTTAAGTGTTTTGAAATTCTCATATTTTCTTTCCTCTTTTTGTTTTTTTTAAAGAATGCATTCAAAAGTTTAAAGTACACTAGTGTAACAATCACTATTATACTTGTACATATTATTTGAATTTCCCGCGTTTTGTCCCTATGCCCCATCTACCCATAAACCCTTGCAAAATAGCTTGGCCGACCAGAACAATTGAGGCCTGGTCATTCCCGGCAGAGTAGCGTAGCTACACGTTTCTACAATAGAAGCAGCTAGTGTACATGCAAATAGCTGCCATACAATCAGTATCTTGACTTTGGCACGGAGACGGGTCCGTGGTAAGTATTTACTTATAATATTATCAATATTTGTTATGTTTATAGTTTTTTTTAGGCAGATTTATTATTGAATACGTATTTGTTCTTATTTCTGAACTTGGCCAGCTCTCACCATTTTACCTGTTGTTCAGTCAGGTGTGACGGTTAGCGAGAGTGTTCGAATGGCTTTTGTATTATATCGATAGAGTTTAAAGGTGTTATTGTACGCAATTTTCTTGTATTCAGATTTGTTACATTATGTGAAATATTTTGTCCATTTAAATTTTGGTTTAAATGTCTGGGCGGAAGTGAATGACCGGAAGTCGAAAGTAAGGTGCGCCATGTTGGCAATAATTTGTTTTGACTTATGTTAACTGGTAACCATTTTAATTTATACGTATTGATTTATTTATTTATGAGAATGAATCGCCAAACATAGTAGTGTTGCCAAACATTATTTAGTGAGACATGTGACTTAAAAACATTCGTCATTGTAGCGTCAAGGACACTGGTATGACATGTGCTGGACACTTGCACTAAGCAGGTTGGGAACAATTCCCCTGTAGAGAGATCATCTCGCTAGAGCGCGATTATCCCTCTATAGCGGTATAATAAACATTACCATAAACAGGTGTTTTCTTGTTTTGATTACAAAATAATCAAAAATCTCGTGCTTTTTAAAAATCCGGGAGAACGCTGAATTGAAGCTTGAATTTCCTACATAAAACTGATAATCTGGGCTAGAAATTTAAGACAATCACTGCTGCATGTGAGAATAGGAGGCGAAAATCAAGTGTAAATCGTGCATTTTTTTGCAACGGTTTTAAATTTACAGTTATATATGTTTATGAAGCAATATAAAATATGAATAGATATCCAAATTATATTCGTTAAGGTTTTAGCTTTCCCTACGTGCACAGAAGGTAATAATTACGTTCTCCAGAAACCCATGACCATTGCTTAAATATTTGATCTTTGGTGGACTACAAGAAGTACGGAAGCGCAACAGGGTTGTAACATTTGTTTAAAAGTCATGATTAAAAAAAAAACTATCAATGACATATATACAAGCTGGATACCCCATTAAATAATTAAATATAATTGAAAACAAATCAATTTAAAAAAGTTTAAATTAAGTCTAACCGATATTGACATAGTACAAAATGTTGATATATAGTAACTCTTGGACTTGCAGTAAGCGTGATATTCTCGACGCATAATAACCGTCAAATGGTGATCTTGATTTTCATTGGTTGTCTTAGCTCATCAATATTCATAGGAACATAGTCAAGCATAACTGATGAACGGCACAAAACAGTTTAGTATGAATTATTTTTTTATAACACAGAGAAAACAAAAATGCGAAATTGTTGAGTGATCACTGCTTTCCACGTGCTGTGTTAGTTTGAAGAAGTATAGGCCCTAAGTGTTCGTACATGTACTTCAATGACAAATTCTTAACGTTTTTTTCCGGTAGCAATGAACAGTTCCACGTTTGAGGACACTTGCGCTGGAATCATGTTGGGATCCTGCATAACAAATGTAAATTTTAATATTGCATCAGATACTTTCCAATACAGAGATTGCATAGGAGAACCCAGGCCCGTAGATTTTTTTTTTCAAAAAGGAGGGGGGGGCTTCCAAAAAATTTGACCAAAATAATAAAGAAAAAGTGCCCAAGGGAATAAATGCTTTTAAGGTACGCATTTATTTAGAAAGAAGATTTACTAACACTATGTGAAATACTTCGTAATTAACATTTTATTATTCCTACAATGAAAATTATTATATTTTTATTGAGTTAACAAGGGGGGCCGTCACGTATAAGCGATGATTTGCAGGTTATATGGCTTCCTGTAAGTCGAGTCATACTTGAAGGTCACCCATAAGACTATTCAAATTAAATTGGCTGTGAATTGAAAATGGTTAATGTTGATAGCTTTTACCATGCATCTGTTTTTGAACTTCGGTATAAATCTAAAGAAATCTAGTCACATAACCTACCTACTGTATTTGTTCCTTGCAATTGTTACCCCCCCCCCTCCTCGCCGCCGAAAATTTGTGATTTTTTCAAAATAACATGTACAGTTATATTCTGAGAGCAATACAATAGTATGGCCTAATGTTTTTTTTTCTATTTTTTTTAAATTGAGTTATAAATGTAGGACGAGAAACTGAAAATTACACTGATGTTTTTTTTTTTCATTCACGGGTAAAATATACAAAAGAATAAATATATAGAAGATCCTGCAAACATTGACGAGTGTAACAATGAGCTCATGAAATGAAACTCCTGCTCCCACATGTGTATAATGATTAAGTCTATTTGTTTCTATGGGAAAGTCCAAATATCTGTCCGATAAAAAGATAAATTAGGAGGTCACAATTTAAAAGAGAATCTGTAAAAGTATCATTACATTTTATTTAGTGGTATGAGGAGTTGCTGATAAGAGATGGGTACCCCAAATCGTAATGGACGGACGGACAGCTTTATAGACAGACTAACTGACGGACACCTGATCACTATATACCCCCCCGCTTTTCAAACGGGGTAAAAAAAAAAATAAGTCGAAAGATATACGTACATCTGCAATAAGCAAGTTTACTCGTACTGATATTTATAATTATCACTTGTGGTCCTCCGTAGAAAGTCTATACAATTGTGCAAGATCTTATTCAAATTTCCAAGGTATGCAGCAATAGAGGCAATATTTTAAAGCAAATATATTGAGATGAGACAATAAATATTTAACAAATGGGTTGACATGCTTCCGGATTTTCCTTTTACGGTAGTTAACACGTTTACAGATGGAATCGGAATATAAATCTCGGGTTTCCGAGATGTATTTTCTCCCGCTAGAGAGGGATAATCGCGCTGTAGCGAGATGCATGATCTCTCTACAGGGGAATTGTTCCCAACCTGCTAAGCTGAGGGGATCGTCGAGACACAGCGAAAGGTTCCAGGACTAAGCCCGGAAGGATCCTGTGTGTGGATCAAGATTCAGTGATGGTGGATAGATACAGATAAGTCAATCCACGTAACATTGTGTAGCTCGATATAGGAACACTGACGTATTGGCAAACCTGACATGGTTTCGTTCATCCGATGATGCTGATGATGGTGATGATGACAATGATAATCACTGATATGGAGATGACGACTCCAGTGGGATATGTTTGGCATTGATACTTTGAGTGAAATCTATACCCGGGGTTAATTGGTTAAAAGGTTAATAGGTTAAATGGTTAATAGGTTAATAGGTTAATTGTCTGATTATTGGTAACCAATTGCTATTTTTTTTTTTTTTTTTTGTTTAATAGTGTGGAAGAGTGTGTGGATCAGAGTGTGGTTGTTTGTTTGAAATCTTCTTTATTATTATTTTTTTGTAAATAAATTTGTTAAAACTTAGTTGAATTTGTGTGATTTTTGGAGATAGCCAGCTTGACCACGTGACAATTAGACCCATTTATCTTGTTACTACATTTAATGAATTAAACACTAGAGTAATGGGCTATATAGTAGTTATCAATTATTGGACTATTATGAATGGGAAATTAAAATTTATTTCTTACAACATATATTATTATTGCGGTAGAACAAGGAATATTTTTTCCGAATATTCCATATTTATAGTGAGTGGTAAGGCTTGTAGAATATTTTAGCATTGCACTATTATTATGCAGAACTTTTTCAAAGTACTATATATAGATTTTAAAGAGGCTGGGGGGTTGTGGCCATTTTTAGACTAAATTGATCTCCTTTAGAAGAAGAGCTCCATATGAAGATATAGAAAATGATCAAATTTTAAAACTAAAATTTTTGAAATTTTTCTTTGCCAAATGATAGTTGACAGCTTAAGATATCATATCTAAAAAATTAAGTTAAATCTGGTGGTTAATTTGTGGTTAATTTGTTGACCCCCCAGCCTCCTTAATTTTGCCCAAAATTTTCGTTTGCAAAACACAAAATTACATGATTTCTTCTGCTCTATATATATATATATATTTACAGTGAGAAAGAATATCAAAGTCATATTTTGTCACAGTGTGAAAGACTAGCAAAACTCGATTTTCCTTCCCTTCGCGAAGAGTGTTGTAAAAGATACTCCCAGGCCTATCATAAGGTAGAAAGAGTAAATAATCTACCCTGACAGAGACTAGAATTGCCAATGTTTCTCCAAGAATTTTGTTGAAATCCATGTTTACAACGTTTTC